AATGCTCTTGCTCGTCTGGGCCAATTCCAGGAAAAGGCAAAGCCTGGCATGCAGAACAGCAAATTCGGTTTCGGTCGTAAGGCTCAGGCTTGCAGGAAAGGTGGATACTAAAGGGCTCAAGACTACATGAAGGTTTAGCGCCGACGTTGCCAGCAGCCCTGGGAATTACTTCTTTCCGAGTGGCTCGGCGCAGACGCTGCACCTGAGCGCGCTACTTAACGGAGGAGATCTTGACCACAGGGAGGAAAGTATAATATCACAGAGATTACAATACAAACAACGTGCAAGGGACCCCCCCCAAAAAGGGACATGTGCCAAAATTCAATAAGGGTCCCCGCATGAGGTGCTAAGCGCTAAACCTGAATACGAAACCCCTTTGCGCATAAACCCCTGCCCGAAAACTCGGAAGCCCTAAACCCCAAATCATTCAATCTTTACTTGGAGGGTCGGGGGACTTAGTGAGTAGGTGATTAGTAAAATCATAAATATAATGATTAAAAGGGATCCTAATTGGGGTTGTGCTACTTGTAACTGGTTGTGCCGAGAAGCCCACAGGACTGCATGAAGCGCACGTCTCAACGTGCGGCGCCGCATCTGCACCGGGGGCGGTGTTCTCCAGCTGTTTGGTTCTTTGTGGCATGAGCTGTGGGGCGGGGGAATCCATCCAGTCTCAAACCTTACAAAAATCTGTGCATCCTTGCACGTGGCCCAATCCCCAAGACTTCCAAAGCCTTTTCGCATTCTGCTGAAGACCTGGAACTTCGAAACCAAAGATTTCGCCCGCGACAAGGGGAATTACAGCTTTCCGAGTGGCTCGGCGCAGACGCTGCACCTGAGCGCGTTACTTAACGGAGTAGATCTTGACCACAGGGAGGAAAGTATAATATCACAGAGATTACAATACAAACAACGTGCAAGGGACCCCCCCAAAAAGGGACATGTGCCAAAATTCAATAAGGGTCCCCGCATGAGGTGCTAAGCGCTAAACCTGAATACGAAACCCCTCTGCGCATAAACCCCAGCCCGAAAACCCTGAAGCCCTAAACCCCAATTGCTTCAAAGAGGCTCCACCGCACTTGCCGAAGAGAGGCGACGTACACAGCTTTTTTTAAACTGAGGCCACTGCGAAGTAGAGTTTCGCATCTCAAGATGCGGCATTAAGAAGGGGCACCTTCAATTCGAAGTACCCGGGTGGGTGGGTGGGGCCTCACATCAGGACTTCTGTACTGCAACAGCAGGGCAGGGCTTGACACAAAACAGCCACTGCAGCTGCGCGTGCTCTGGCCCTGCACCCACAATGCCTCAGATTGGCCTCTCGGTTGGGGACGCCTTTACAGCAATATCCCCCTCATTGCTTCAAAGAGGCTCCACCGCACTTGCCGAAGAGAGGCGACGTACACAGCTTTTTTTAAACTGAGGCCACTGCGAAGTAGAGTTTCGCATCTCAAGATGCGGCATTAAGAAGGGGCACCTTCAATTCGAAGTACCCGTCTCCCCGCACTGGACACGAGTTCCACCCGAGTGGCCGAAGCATGCATGTGAGAGGCCCCTTTCAGGCAAACCAAAATTTTTCGCCCTCCAGCGGCGACAGATGATCACGTACAGATCTACCAAGCATACAAGCACTACGCCACTACGCGAATGGACGCAGATCGCGAGCCCAGCAACCATACAGCAGCTCCGAGCTCCGTCCAAAGCTCGTCGAAGGTAGTGTCCAGGAGCCCCGAACACCACTCGCGAAGAGCCCGGCTGAATGGCAGTGAGCGTCAATGGCACATCAGTTGAAACATGCATTAAAAACTTGCTTGTGACACAGCACTTCAGAAGTCAGGAGCGGCGGGGATGGAAGGAGACCCGCTTCCGCCCAGCAAGACGCTTTCCCCTTGAAGGCCCATCAGCCGGGTTTGCCTCCGTGGGAATATAAACCAGACGCAGCAAAAGGTCTGCTGCAAGAGCGTGTCCGGCAATGCTCCGCAGCACCCTCCTCAAAGAACGGGCAGAGCTCCGCCCTTTTGCCACGCTGCCGATGATTTGGCGTCGACTAAGATAACAGCGCGGTGGTGATGCCTCCTGCGACTTCTGGCAATCCACTTTACCGAAAGCAGAACTCCATGGCACTCCAGGAGGCCAGAGTGGCCTGACCACTTTGCTCTGCACGAAATCAGTTGCTTGAAGTCCGTCTTCTTGAAAAGCAAGCGGTGAAGTGTGCCCAAACGATCAACTTCGGGTGGGTCTTCCGCTGACCGTTCCAGCCTGACGTAGTCCCCTCTGCGCTCTGACAGCCTGCCAACTTTCTCTGCCACGTGCTTTCCACACTGAAGAATCACACCGAAGCCAAACTCTGGAGCAGCATCACACGCCAAGACTTCCGGAAGAAATTCTCGACTCAGGCTTGCTGGCAGAAGCGGAGCCAAGGCTAAGGACACGAACAGCTCATCCAACACACTGGCTGGAACACGCCGCCTTTGTGACTCTGGCTGCTCCCGAACGAAAGTGTAAACTTCCGAGAAAATGCTGGACATCCAGGCAAAACCACTGTTGCAGGCCAAGTAAAGCATTAACTGCAGCTGGGCTGGCGACCTCGGAAGCCAGCAAATCGCACGTTGCGAGCACAAGTCGGGCTTGCTTGTCACAGGCAAGCTGCACCATGGGCGGCGACGCACTGATGTCACAACGAAGACCCGTCAAACTAGAGGCCAGCGTCACGTCCTTCTTCTCGTTGCGTTGGACTCCATGAAGCGCAAAGCTAGCATCAAGTCTTCTCAACGTGGACAACCCTCTGCGTTTGCATCTGTGGAAAAGGATCACATCGTCAGTCGCGACGGCACAAAGTTCTTGTTGCGATTCAGGCAGACCATGGTCAAGGCTCAAAACGTTCTGCTCGTTGATCCCAGCGCCGCGCAACATGCCAAGTGTACTCCCTTGAGCGACGCACGAAGACCAACTGAAGCCCATTGGCCATGCCGTGTTGACAGGAAAGAGCACTGAGTCGGGCCCAAGAGCTGTTTGACTATCTAAGTCATCAACAAAGGAATACAGTTCTTCGATTCCCATGCCAGTGGCGGCGCTGAGTTCTTGGACCGTGACGAGTTCCTGTCCAAACCACGCTTGCAGATCAGGTGGGGCAGCCAACAAGTCAAAGTAAGTGCTTGCATCCCTCTTGGACATGTAAAGCTGCTCCCCGGGCCGAACGAAGATGTCCAAAAAAGAACTCGGGTTAGCCAGCCTCTCCGGCTTGGGCGGCTTGCTGGCCATCTCTGAGATGTGTGAGCCGTCCCAGATCTTTCGCTGCCGGGCCCGGTCCGACTTTGGAACAGCAAAGACTTTTGCCAGGCCACGAACTTCTGACCGGAGACGAAGCTTTCCACAGCGCAGCTCCCTTCCTGTGAGAACCAAGTACTCGTGGCGGTCCTGACTGTTGGAAGAAGCGACCGGGGTGCGGGTGGAGGTAGTCTGTGAACCAAACATGGCCCCAGGTGCTGAAACCTTGGACCAGAGCTCTGCAGGCACCAGCTTCGCCGGGTCACAAGTAGCAGCACGCACAGGCAGGTCCACGCTGTCGCCCAGCAGCGGCACCGCCACTGCACCCCTCTCGCGTGTCTCCAACTTGCTGAAAGCCCCATGCCAGCAGAAAGCACCAGCTCTTGGGCATGCCTTGTTCCAGGTGGTTAAGAGCTGCCAGACACAGATTCGCCGTCAGCAGATGCGCATCCTCGTCGTCGAGATTGCAAGCCAAATCTGACGGCCACGTGCGCAGCAAAGGCCACGGAAAAAGGTCTCGCTGTCGGTCACGACCACTGCCTTTCTTCCGCCCGCCAGTCTTGCTCAAGGCGTGGAAAGAATGTGCCAGGGCCAAAGAAGAGGTCTTTAACATCTCAGTGAGAAAAGAAACCCCCATGCGGGGAAAGAGAGAGGGGCCTCACATCAGGACTTCTGTACTGCAACAGCAGGGCAGGGCTTGACACAAAACAGCCACTGGAGCTGCGCGTGCTCTGGCCCTGCACCCACAATGCCTCAGATTGGCCTCTCGGTTGGGGACGCCTTTACAGCAATATCCCCTTCAATCATTCAATCTTTACTTGGAGGGTCGGGGGACTTAGTGAGTAGGTGATTAGTAAAATCATGAACATAATGATTAAAAAGGATCCTAATGGCATGAGCTGTGGGGCGAGGGAACCCATCCAGTCTCAAACCTTACAAAAACCTGTACATCCTTGCACGTGGCCCAATCCCCGAGACTTCCAAAGCCTTTTCGCATTCTGCTGAAGACCTGGAACTTCGAAACCAAAGATTTCGCCCGCGAAAAAGGGAATTACAGCTTTCCGAGTGGCTCGGCGCAGACGCAGCACCTGAGCACATTACTTAACGGAGGAGATCTTGACCACAGGGTGGAAAGTATGATATCACAGAGATTACACTACAAACAACGTGCACAACATATGCTAACAGACCAAGACGAATACAGACTTCTAAACCATATTGTTTGCAATGCAATCATGTAGGGGCTAGTGCTAGTGTCCAATGTCAGGTGTTCGAGATGTCCTGCTTTTTGCGAAGCCGACGCTGAAGCACTTGCTTCTCAGCAATCATACATCTAAGCCCAATCTAAGCCTTCACCTTCAGACTAATCCTGTGCAGGATGGAAGCCCCCGGTGCCAGCCTTCATGCGCGAACCCTCCACCCGAATTGGTGGACTTCAACAGAAATCAGCTCCTGAACGCCGGAACTCCGAACCTTTCACTTGGAAAGCCTTCCAATGTAGTACTTTCCTGACGCCGTGAAGGAGAGTCCTGATCAAAAAAGAATATATACGAAACCAACGAAACCTACATCTGGAGTCCTCAGGGTCAAGAACTGATTCTGTACATACTTGCGCCAGAGCAATAGGACAACTTTACAAGCATTTACAGTTCGTACTTGGATGTGGATGTATGTGCAGCGCATTGCACTTGTGGAGGCGCTAAGATGCTACAGGTCCTTACATCGTCATCCTGTTTTACTTCCATGAATCTGCAGGTTCCGCCGAGATACATGCAACGAAACCAGTATGATGATAGTTGCACAGGCCTTGAAACGCTGGAGTTGGCTTCGGGATGGTTTAAAGGCACTTGCAGTCCTTTTTGCGGCATCCTTAGAAGCCAAAGCTGATCCACAACCCAAGAAATGTCTTCTTCTAATCGCCGCAGATCGATCTCTTCAATCTCAATTGAAGGCTACAGGCGAAAAACGCCGACACTGAACCCGCACTGAACATCCGAAACAGACACTGCACACCTGCGCCCAAACCCTTAAAACATCTACCAGACATTGGCTTTAAACTCGATTGAAAAATACACTTTCAAGCTGCCGAACTCTTTCAATCAAAAGATACAGACTGATATGGACGTATGCGATGGGACATATATGAAAGATGGTAGAGTACGTCTACTCATGTCATGTCAGAAACGAAGGTGCTCAGTTAACAGGAATCGCGGAAGCAAAGCCTGAATAAACTACGAATTGTGACCCGGGGGTGGGTGTTTACGACATGCAAGGTAAAGGTCCCGGTGATGAGGACTGCCGTGGCCCGGCTCTAGTTCTGACTGTTAAGGAGAACGCTGCTGCTTTGAAGAGTCTATGTGTCGAAGAATGCCCATGTCCACATCGCACGTTGTCTAAAACCGGCTTGCAAGATGCCTTGAACAAATGGATGTGATTTGATGCGGGCTCCATTGTGGTTTCGAAGGATTTGTAAGGAGGGTGCAATACTGCTCTGATTCACTGCTTGAGGCCATGACCAATGCAAATGCACAAGATGTGCTGGAATCGACGGAATTCCCTGGCGCGAGTTGCAGCTCTTGCTGCTTCTTGCCACACTTCGTTGAAGCAGGATCGCAACCTTCCACAGAGCCCTCGTCAAGTAGGTGCCGTTCAGCATGTGGGACCCAATCCGCTGCCTGTTCAGACGGCATGCTCGTCGGCACGACGTCCTCATGCTTGAAGGAATACTCATGATGAAGAGCCTTGTACTGCAAATGCTGCATCCTCGTGAAAAGGTTTTCTGCCAGTTTCGTTGTGAAAGGCATCCTGCCCTGAGGCTTGTACCTTTGTACTCTAAGGCCCGGGGACGTCACGCGATCAGGGATCTTGAACCGTTTACATGCAGGGTTTTGCTGTCTGCTCGAACTCGACGCCTCCGATAAGCACCGAGGCGAAGACCTTCGGAGACCAATGGCTGCCTCCGACTTAGCTTTGTTGTCCAGGCTCGCTTCGATTTCTTCTGCTTTGATCGCTTTGCTTGGCCCCTGAACTTCAGGTGGGTCTGGTATCTTCCTGGATTCCGCAAGCTCGACGTGCTGCGAACTAGCTGCAAAAATGAAGATATTTATAAATGTATAATATATATATATATATACACACACATAGACATATGCATAGGCGTATCAAACTGAACAGCACAAACTTGCGCGGGTATACCTATGTGTGCACGTCATGTGCGCAAGTTTGTAGGTGCACATTGTCTGTCTGGTGCTTAGTAGGCAAGGGGGAATGGATCATTATGATAGTCCCTTAAGGTACCTTAGAGTAGTCCCCATTCCTCCAGTCCCTACTAAGAACCAGGCAGTAGTGTAGGTATGCCATGACTTGCCTTTGCTTCCGGAGCACTTCCCGGACTGGCTGTTAGGCTGGCATTGATCCGGGCTTCCGGTTTAGGGGGTTTGGGGTTTAGGGTTTAGGGATTAGGGGTTTAGGGATTTAGGGCTTTTGGGGTTTAGGGTTTCGGGTAATTTGTGGGAGTAGACTGTAGACATCTGTAGACTATACCAAAACTGCGTACGGACTATGCAGGAACCACTGCACGACTGATTGAAGCACCCGCATTCAATATTTACGCCATCGAAGACTTGAGCGCAAACAGGACCGAGGACAGGGCAAACATCGGCAGGCGGACCTAGCCAGAGACAGGCAACTGCATCGGTTGAGAGGGTGAACATTGCGGCTGCATGGCTTGGAGCATGGGATGGGCATCGTCTACTGTACCAGCACTGAATCATGATGGAACCCCGCACTCGCATGGAAGCTTCCACCACCAGCTCCAGACCGACACAGTAGGAGTAGTTGTTGGGTCATCATCAGATGTCAACTGTCATTCTCATCGTTATCAACAGCATTTGCAACACCTTCCTCATCATCATCATCAGCATCATCACCATCACACCAAACAGTAAATCCGTGGTCATAATCCTCATCGTCATCATCTTCTTCGCGGTCATCGTCAGTGCTTGAAAATCTCTGTGGTCGCGGCTTGTCTGTAAAGCAGTCCAACGGTTTCGTCCTGAGCCCAGTGGCCAGTGGTCTAGGCTTACTGCACACAACGAGGGGGAGGGACTAGGCTGCAAAATGCTGCAAGAGGAGCCAGCCGGAGAACGGAAGGAGAAAGAACAGGTTGCCGACCGGGAAGAAAACATGGGCTGTGTGGACCAGCTCAGAGTCAAGTGAACTACTCGTACCGCAAGGATTGCAAACATCCATGGAAGTTAGCGCTTAAACCGAAGAAGCAGATGCTGACGACGATGACGGCCATGATGGCGACGATATCGATACTGGCGATGATGGCGTTGATGGTGTTGGTGTTGGTGCCGATGCTGATGTTGATGGTGGTCTAAGCACTATCAACTACGCATGTGCACTTGTATGTTTGCGATCCTTGCCGAGCAGGTAGTTCGCTTCACTCTGAGACTCTCCGGTCCTTTGCCAAGTCACTCCCAAGTCTTCTGAGCACCCGGCAACCTCTTGCCGGAGGATGTCCAATGCCCGCTCAAGTCTGGCCTGGGATTGCAAAGTTACAGGCAGGATGTTTGGACCTGATCACGGTCATGACTGGACCTCCAGTTTGGACCGGAGCACTTTGCAGGGCCATATGCAAGGAAATCATAATCAGGAACCCCGTCTCGGGTAAACCCCACAGGAAGGCACACAAAACCTAGAATAAACAGCTGCGTCTCCTCGTCGTAGTGGGGATCTGATCGCACCTGCAAACTTGCTGTTTTCGATAATTTAGGGTTTAGGTTCCCTGTTGTATGATGTTAGACAGTAGTCATTCGCCTACTATAGGTCACAGGGCTTCTGCGAACCGCGGTGGGCTCGCCTTAAGGTGGGGCTAGAGAGTGTGATCTGCATGGGCTACTTCCAAGGCCAAGTCAGCGCGGACCCTGTGGAGCTCGTCAATATCTTTGTTTTGACTACGTATGTGACTACGTATTTCAATACTCTAAGACTTTAAGTATTGCAAATATTCCAGACTGCATACTAAGCCATCAAGCCCAGCCTTCCAGACCAGCTCTCTAGAATCCACACATGCAGTGCGGAGAGCTGCGGAGCCGAAACGTGCAGGGGCATGTGGGGCAAGGCCTCCGTGCGTCAACGGCAACGTTGATGTCCAAGACTTCCCCCAAGTACAGTGCTGCATCTGAAACTGTTTGCAATCTCGGCAACATTCTGTTTCCGCTTGTGTTTCTCGCTTTAACACAGGGTTCCTGCTGTTTCCGCATCACAGTGCCTTCAAGACGATGTTCCAGCAAGGTGGTTCCATCGGCCCTTTCGGTGCAAGCCTGCGTAACGGCCGAATACACGGCTTGCATGCCCAAACCCTGCAGCTTCACGCGCATGCAAGGGAAGGGCTGAGCCAGCTCTTCCGCCGACTGACACATTACTGAGGGGTTGCTGCATGCGGCACCGAATGCGGCTACAGGCTGAAGTCGACCGCGCCATGTCGTGTGCCTTTCTCCCATGACCCAAACCGTCGAAAACTTCCATGACTCCTTGCAATGAAGTTCTTCTCCCTCTGCAAAGATCGCACTTTGAACTTTCCACCCCGTCTCCGCCAAGAGCTGCCAAGAGCCCAAGTCGCTTCCTACGAGGCAGCCGCCTGTCCCACAACAGCCCTGACCTACTGGTGTGGGTAGTTTACAAAATCTCAAACTTCCTAGTCACTTGATTGTGAGACTAGGCACTGCCAGCGACTGCCTATTGAAAAAATTGCCAGAGCATCCATCTGCTGCACAACTTGCGGGAGAGCAGCTGAGGCAGCTCTCCGCTTTTTGAGACAACCGACTACCAAGATGATCAGAAAAGACATGGAAGATGGACGCGGAGAGTGCTAAGCTTTGTCTCTCACCAGCAGTCGCACCGAGACGGTCAGCAGTCTCAGAGTCCCTTGCTCACTTTGGGACCAGAGCCCTGGCAAGAAGCCGTGTTCTGCTGCTTTGCTGCTTGTCTTCTTCAAGGATGCAGAAACACCTCCTCAGCTCCAGCCGTGACCCTTAGATTCCACACGCCCTCGATCCCCCGATCCTTCTTCATCCCCTTGCCGTCGCCCTCTTCCACACCCAGGTCGAAGGCATACAGCTCCTAGGCACAGAAGCAGGTCGAGGTGCATGAAGTCCTTAGCAGAATGTCCGACGGGAGCCTTGGGGCGCTTCACGACCACCAGCTTCGGCCTCACCAGACGCAACCGCGACCCCAAACCCCACAACAGTCATACACCCCAAAATCGCTGAAGCCACTAGGTCCCTAAACTCCAGAAATGCTGGCCTCAGAGACTCGACCCAGTCCAAGAAAGCCTGCTTGGTCTCTTTTCCGATGTCGGACGGTTCTCAGCGAGCAGCTAAGGACAGAATGGGCTTCATAGGGGTGTCTCAGATCGGGCGCACCAAATTGCCAGGGTACTGTTACGTCACACTAAACTCACTCGAGGTCCTGCTATGTAGGTTCTTTCTGTATCTCCCCTTTTAAATCAATTTGGGGTAAAGTAGCAAACATACGCCCAAAAAGCAATATCTCTCTTCCACAATGTGTACCGCAGTCGCTGGCCAGACCGCGCAAGCAGAAACCGAAAGCCCTTAAATAAAACTTTGAAAAAGGCACGTTTATAGGCACGTCTTGTCTGCTTTGCACCCGAGGCCGGCACTGACGGCCACGTGCTGCACGTCTACTTTTTCTGGCAAGTCCGACCGAGCACACCGTTGATACAACATGGGCATGTCTCACTGGTAGAACCGTCAGTCTGTGGCCAGAGAGAGTTCCTCTTCATTTGCCACCAGGCTCCGGCAGAGCTAGTCAGAGTCTACAGCATGCTTTCCCACAAGGGTGTCGTGTGCGAGTGCTCGAGTGGAGGTGTTGGTATGCTGTTGCTGCGCTTGCCTTCGTCGAGTGCCTCCATAACGGTCAGGATCTGGCAATGAAAAAGCGGCACAGAAAAAGGCATTCAACAGCTAGCAGCGCAATTTGGAGCTGCACAGTCTGTTTGCGAAGTCCAACTCCAGGCGACACAGGATTCTGGCCGAGCCCTACGGCAGCACACAAATGTCCGCTGAAGTGCACACCTGGCCTGTGGATCTCCAGGCGGAATCAAGTAGAACCCAGGATCTGCCCGGGAGCTTTAAGCGGCAAGCGAGCTGGTACCCCTAACAGGAGACAGAAGAGCCTCGGCCCTCGCTGGCGTGGCTAAGGCCCCAGACCTCGAGGCAAGCATCTCAGAAAAGTCACATAACTACATGGATATGTAGGTATCTGCGGATTGCATGCCTGCCCACCTGCCTGTCTGCGTGGCATGCGTATACATACATACATACCTACATACATACAGACACGCACGTACGCACGCACACACACACACACACACACACACACACACACACACACACACACACACACACACACACACACACACACGCGCGCACGCAGTTGAGTCTGTGCCTGCCCGCATGCACGTGCATGCATGTAGGCCCGTGCGCAGGGGTGCTGCGCAGTTCGGCCGAGGTGGACTCTGCACGTGCTGTGGCAGCTGCTACTTGCGACTTGCGAGCTCCGGCTGAAAGATTCGGCACAGCTCGAGGACGTGGCCGTCCAGCCCTGGCTGAATTCCGCGGAAGCCAGGCCCCTTAGTCGCAGATCCCGCTCGTTCCGAAGCTGCTGCTTGCTTGCTTCTGCTTCTCCTGAGGGTTCGGACTGCAAGATGTCCTTCTGCCTCGGAGAACGCAGAAACGCAGGGGAAGGAATCTCACCAAATCCCACAAAGGATGACAGCAGAGAGGAAAGCTCTGGCACTCAAGCCGAGGTGCTCATCTGATGCCTCCTCTTCCTCTGCCCACTCCTCGAACTATAGCCATGGGAAGGCTGACAACATGTTGGGCGGCTCTTGCTTGAGGCTTCGTTTGTTTGGAACTTTGGCGGCTACTTCCCATTGAACTGCAACGAAGGATCGCGCCCGCCCGCACGCACACACACACACACAGGTGTGCAAACGTGCGGAGTGATGATCCTAAATGACCAACGATCGATGCGCATCAAGAAGCCTATGCCGGAAAACAAGTCTTGTGATCTGAAGCTGCCTCACCCGGCACAGGGTTGTCCAGTGATTGTTGCAGCTATGCTTGTTGATGCTTTTGAGTTGAACCGGCTTCCATCATCTGACGATTCTGAGTTCGTACGAGCAGCCACTCCATTTGTCAAGCAGCACGTAGAACTTTCAGAAGGACCCCACAACTACTACACTTCAAACAGTGCATGAAAGCTACCTCGAACAACGCGCCGATCCCTGATTCCTGATCGCCAAGTACTGAAGAAGACGGGGAGTCACAAAGGGCTAGTCACCTCCCTACTCGACGCGGATGGGGCCCGGCCTTCAGGAATTCTGCTGCCTTCTTCTTTGGCATGACCCAGCAGCAGTACCTCTTCAAAGCTCTGATCTGTTTTGCGCTTCAAGTCCTGAAAAGGGGACTGTTACAGGGCCAAGGCACACGGACTCCTCCACGGGCTTCTTGCGCTCCAGCTCCTCCTCCTCATCATCCTGGTTCGAACCACCACCTAACCGCTTCTTCGGCAGCATCATGCCCCCCCTGCCCACCTCATCCTCCTCATCACCCCAACCGGGCGCGAACCATGGCGCGCCGCCCTGGCTTCATAGAGAAGAAACAATCGTGCAAACTTGCTGATCCGCGAGGAGCCGGCCGAAGGGCTGTCGGACAAAGATCTTACATCCGAGCTTCTGTCCGCCGTGCCTGGGTGTTGCCCTTCGTTCTGGTGCGCTTGTTGACGTAGTCCCAGGGGTTGTCACCTGGGAAAGCCATCAAGACTCAGCGGCGTCCATCCAGGAGGACGTCAGAATGTTGCAGGTGTCGGCGGCAGGATGCCGGCGTATGACAGCTGATGGTGACGGTCATTGGTGGTGATGAGGCCGTCCGAGTGCAGTACTTAATGCGGACCGAACGACGCGAGCACACCTGGAGCAGGCGGGAGAAGACACTCTGATCTCTGCGCCGGCATTGCACGTGAACGTTCACTGCTTGCCTGGTACGTCGAGTCGCAGCAGCTGACAGAGCTGCTGCAGTCGCAGCCATACAAGGTCCTGCATGTGGATTCAGTGACCGGTGGGCAAGCAGCCGGCGAGCCTCTTGACTGGTTTAGACAGCTTGCGAAGCCTGCGGCGCCTTGCCAACGCCCAGCGCTGTGTCTGGGTAAGCCTGTCCAAAAGCGAGGCAAGCGGATTCGGAAGTGCGTGCTGCGAAGAACGAAACCCTGACGTGAGGGCCTGGAGCTGACGTTGCAGGAACCACGGGTGCAACGAGCGATGTGCCCGGCAGAACGAACCTCAACGTAGGAATGTGTTCCAAGCACAATTTCCGCGCATCGCCAAGACGTTCAGGTGACGAGAGCGAAGACTGAAAACTAGCAGAAGCAGTTCACCCAACCGATGGAAAGTCACAGTTCCGACCTAAAGATCTTTCCAAGGCCAAGAGACGAAGCCGCTTCCATCATGTCTGAGCAACTCTGCTCCAAGGTCTCAACTGCGGTCGCTGCACAGCTTTTCGTTGCTCCGTGTTGGGTTGGACAGGTAGCTGCTGTCGGCTTCATCGCTGGCCACGAGTTGTGTGAGAATCCTGATGTCTCCTGCCGGATGTCCACAGCTCTCATTTTGAACCAAACAGCTTTTGCAGGAGCTCGTGCTTTTGTCAACGTTCGGATTTTTGCAGGGGCACGGTCATTCGAAAATCTGTCCTCATCGCATCTTCGTCACTGGCATCATGAGCATCATGAATGTCAATGGCATCTTCTGATCGCCGCAACTCCGGACACTTTTTCCTTCGATGCCAGTCGACCATCTGGCAGCACAACCTCCAGACAGAAAAGAAGCGAATGCGTTGTCTTCCTTTCGGACTTATCACTCGATGCTTTGGCGTCCCGTCGTGTCACAGGCTCAGGCGTGGTCCATCTTGAATCTTAACATACCTACTCAATCCTACTCACCTACTCCTACCGATTTAGTCCTGGACCTGGGAGTTACACGCATGCAGCGGTGCCCAAGAAAGCGACCCGCTGCCTCTCGAGCTCTGCAGAGCCGCAGCCTCCGAAGCCAGCTCCTTTGCACAGAAAGGGACGGAGATCCTTTGCCAAAGGTCTCAAGTCACCCGCTGGGCCTCAGTGTACCCCGCGCTGGAGAGCCTGAGGGTGCTAGCCTGGCACTGTCGAAGGCTCCGTGAACCCGGACTCCTGCCCGAATCCTTATACATCCGCCTCGAAGTCAGCGTCTGCAACAGCTCGGATCTGGAGGCAGCCTTGTTCTTGTTCTCTCTTCACCGGCAACCATGTGCTACCTGCCCTCTTCTTTGGGGCGTGGACACCGGCAGCACCTCCCAGCCCTCGAAACACGGCAAGCGCCTGAGAAGTAGACATGCTCCAGATCGCAGATGATCGCAGCTTTAAAGTGAAAAGTCGCATACATCAGTGGTCAGGCTAACGAAGGAGAGAGAGAGAGAGAGAGAGAGAGAGAGAGAGAGAGAGAGAGAGAGAGAGAGATATTCGGAGGCTTCACACAAAAGCAGACCCTCCACTGCTACAGCCCTTTGCAAGGTGTGCACGGCAGTCGCCAGCAAAGAGCTCCGCAGAAGCCTCCAAATCACGAACCTACGAAGAAAGTTTCATGAACGAACCGCAATCTAAAGTTGGTGTGCCTCTCTTCGTCCAGAGCCTCATTGACCTGTGCGAAGCATGACAGGACTTGCTGTGTAGCGAAAAGCTCACCAATGGTTGGGCACTCAGAGCCACAAAGAAACCAGTCCAAGATTCATGCGCTTCTCAACATCTACGTGCATGCCCTAGACTGAAGTCATGACTGAACCATCTTGGGCGAAGCAGCTTGCTTCCCAGCTCAAATCAATTAACCCGTTGTCAAACTTAGACACATGTCTTGAGTGGCCTCGACAATTTCAGCACTTCGGCGTCGAGCACCTTGGCGCCCCTGGTCTGAGGTTGCCTGGGGCCACATGTCGTGAGGCTCCCTACAGTGGCGGCCGGGATGTCTCGTGCCACAGGCCAGGGCTGCTGCGTGCAACAACTTCCGCCACCTTCGATTCGATAAGCGCTTTGAAATCGACACTGCTTGGGAGCCCATGCTCCAGCGCATCGCTCATCCTTCGGAACCCCTCAGCGCTCTGAAGTCTTTTCTGCGGGGCTCGTCGTGCCGCTCACAACTTCGCCGATTGCTGGGCCTAACAAGACGCGTGCCTCTTGCCTTCCCTTCCATGACCCTTGCACCGAGTGCACTGAGGCCAGCACGGACGGTGTCTGCACAAGGAGGGGCCACCGAACGAGGAAAGACCTGCATGTAACTTTCACCCGAACGTCGGCATGGTACCCTGGGCCGCGGCCCAGGCATGGAGATTCTGGCCTCCATGGTCCAAGTTGCGGAGGGCTGCCGAGGTTGGTGGGGCGATAGTAGTAGTGCCTTTGCATTGACTGCTTGCGGTCGCCAGGCTCAAGCCTTACGAGGAAAGAAGACTAGACTGGGCTGAGCCATGGCGCGTCTGCCGCCTGATGCCATCGCACCTGGGAGGGTTTGCAAGAAATCGGCCAATGCTGTGATTCCAGACTGTTCCATGCAGGCAAGGCACACAAGGATCCTCTGAGACACAGTACCGAAGGTCTGCAAATCTGGGCGCCAGGGGCAAAAGGGGCCCGAGTGCAGCTTTTCCTCCAAGAAAGATCTAAGCTCTGCAGTAAGTCGATTGCTGCAAGAATCGTGCTTTGGAGCTACGCGTGGATCGACATGTTGGTCCTCCACGGCTTCGGGAAACCACTTTGGAAGCCTGCATCAATTCAATCGGTCGCGCTTCAAAGCCAGGGCGCGGGCGGGCGGGCTGGGAGAAGCTTCGAATGGCCTGGACGGTACCTGCCAGCAGGTTCCAGTGACCGAGCATGCCTGGTACGCAGCATCTGTCCGACATGGCCGGGTCCGGTCCTTCAGTTCTGGAACATCAGAACGTGACATGATCTCGGCCTGCAGCTTCTGGCAAGCTTCACTTCTTGAAGGAGGTGTTCGTGTGTTCTTTCGTCAGAGTCTGGCCAATCCGGCGTGAACTTGGCCCACCAGCTCGCTTGCGTCGCTCGCCATGTCGCCTTCTGCTGCACTGCGAGGGGACTGCAGGATGCTTGCAGACCCGCCAGCCGGCCTGGCCTGTTTTCAGCTGCTCCAAGAAGTCCTCCACCGCACGACGAAGCCAAAAGCACTTTGGCCAGGCTTCGCCTTTCAGAGCGCTCGGTGCTCAGTGGGATTCGAGTGGCCGTGTCCGAGTTTGCTGCCGAGGCGCCTGCCGGATTTTCATTCGATACTACGAAGACTCCGCCTGCAAGGCGTCAGGAACTGCTCCGAAACACGCGATGCCTCACCAGTGAGCAATGGACCCAAGACCTGTTCAACCAAGACACGCTCCAGAATCCTGTGACCAGCAGACCACCTGGATGACTCCTCAGGAGAAGACAGAAACAGCTCTCATGCCAAGACCGCCCACTGCCGCCCACATGCCGAAAAGCCTAAACTTGGCTGTCTTGCACAGCTTTGGTCAACATCGGCCTGTTCGCCGGTCTCTGGCGGCGCACTCCAGAAGTAGTGGATCTCCGGTGAATCACAGAAGATGTGGCCAGCCAGAGCGTGAAACGGGTCAATCTGCTCAGGGCAAATTTCTTAAGTGTAAGAACGTCAACAATATCATCAGCACGATCAAAACCAGTGTCGCTAATGTCAGCACCGGCGCTATCGACATTACTAGCACCATGGGCATCGTCAGCATTACAACTATCAGTGTTGCCATGCGTTAGCATCGAAATCATCGTTATGTTGCGCCCTTTTGTCGCCCCGGGCCAGGTACTGTCTGTTCAAAGCTAGCACTCCGAAGACAGAAGCGAGCGACCAAAGGAAAATCAGGGCCGCTAGCCACCCAGTTTTTTTCGTGCCGAAATGGTACCTGGCCGCAGGCCTAAGAAGATGTCCCAAACTGCGTACCATCGTCACAAAACACAGCATCACCGCTGGTAGATTTATCTTGCATCACCCGGTGGGAATATGCATCACCCCATGTAGACGCTGCGTCAGAGCAAATAATGCGCGCCTTTTTGGCCACATGTGGTTTTCGTTTTTTGGTCGCGGAGCTCCTAACTGGGGTGGATGGACTGCGCAAAATCGTCCAGAAAGCCGATGTTGCAGTACATGCTCCCTTTGTGGAGTCTGACCCCTCGATGTTCGTGATTTTTGGCCGGCGGAGCCGTCGTAATGGAAGAAGCACCACCACAAGTACGGAAAAGATGCAAGGCGCACCCGAACACTGCGCGACCCCTTCCAGGGGATTCAATACAAACACGGGGCCACAACTGGATTTTTCGATCAAGCTAGATAGAAACGAACGAAAGGTAAGCACGAAGAACCACAATGATACGTAACCGTAGCAAGCAAACGGAAAACTGGTTTGAACGATCACCTTCACCTCAACCGGAAGAGCTTTTGCTGTAGGGTTTGGGGTCCATTTGCCGTTTCGGTCTTTGCTTCGATGCTTCCCGAAAGTCGAATTGCATACGCTGGTTTGGAACTTTAGGCATGGTAGGCACAGGATTGTGCTGGCATGCCAGCACCACTGCAAGGACTGCTCGCAGAAATAGCATCGTTGGTGGCATGCCTGGCCTTCCGAGAGCGGATGAACTCCTCTGCTCCAGTTGTTCCGTTCACAGCAAGGAACTCCACCAGCCGTCCTGCGGCTGAAGAGCCGCACACATGCTTGCTTTATTCCACCGTTTTTCTTGTTGCTCTGACTCAGATCTCAAAACTCGACCGCCGAGCCCGCTTTGACTGCTACTGCGTTCCTCAGCATGCCCCCTTGCTTCCGCAGAAGTAGTCAAAGTGGAAAGTCTGCACGGGGAGTTTTCAAGTCCTCGGGATGTGCGCTGGTCCTCGGGCCACTTCACCGTGGTGCGACCTGGGAGCTCGGCACAGCCGTCTATTCCTCACTAAGCTTCTCTGATATGGAACATTTCTGGACTGTCTCTATAAGGTAGCCCGATTTGGAACAACTCTGGCTAGCTTCAGTAATGACTTCAAATTCGACTACCTGGGACCCCGCGCAGTTCGTCAGCGCTGCGAAGCCGCCGCCCACAGCATGCAGGCCCAGGACGGTTCCGCCGGCCTCAGGAAAGTTGCAACGCTACTCGATTGTCGATCGTCTCTTTAGTTACTTTAGTTTGTTGCATGTTGCGATAATTGCGATGAGTGGGCAAGGAGTGGTGTAAAGCGGAAGATCCAAAGGTTCATATCAACAACAGTGCTCTCTCCTCCCCTCTGATAACAGCCAAGCCTGGATGTCCCGACCGCAAAGAAGCTGGGTGTCCTCCTCCAAGCTATCATCACCTACATCGAAGCCCAAAGCAGAAGGAGGAGTGATGAACATGTCTTCCAGCTATCCAGAGTCCATCTTTGCAGTGATGTCACGGCTCGGACGGTCACGCTGCTCATCGCGGTTGTGGGCACAGATCTCGGACAAAGCCAAGGAGCAAGGGAGAGTGTTCAGATGCCAGGGATACTTCGGAAAACAGAACCTGTCGGGATGCCACCATGAAGATCCATGAAGTAAAGAATTCCACTCTGGTATCTCCGCAATCATGCTCAAGACCTGCACTTCGATACACCCGCCAGAATCCTAGTGACGAGCGTGAACCGTCAACCTTTGATTAGACCTATCCCAGGACATTGATTCTGTCCCCTTGCTGTTGCTCAGGTTGAATGCTTCCCTGTTCCTTCTTTGCTAGCAACATGCCGCAACATCTCCAGAAGATTCACCACCATTTTGAGGAGTGGCAACTTCTGTCTGCGAAGCAGCGCCAGCAACTGAGGCTCGCACAAACGGGAGGGATGGATGGCAGCCTACAGCCACCACCAGGATGCACATGGCCCGCTGCAACGCTCATGTGTGAGTATCCTCAGTGTATGTCTAGTGTTTGCTGTCCTGTGGCGAGGGAACTCTCGAAGGAACATTGCCATGCTCCGTTATTGGTTCGGCAACTCTATGTCTTTGTGTGTCGTCGGTCTAGCATACTGTAGCACGTGCGAACACGACATCGCTCGGAGTATAAAGCAAGACAAGGCAGTAACGCCGAGTCCTTCGAGCCAAGATAACCAACCCATCGTTATGATGAAAGTGCCGGCAAAGAGTGCAAGCACACAGAAATCGCTCTGTGCTTTTCTTCCTCCCTGGAGAACCTCAAAGCCCAAGCGGAACAAACTGGCGTCACTAAAGAAACATTGCCCTGCGTCCTAAGTTGGGATTGGGATTAGGGGTCTCACGGACGGTTACAACACAAAGCTGCTGGCAGCCTCCATACGATCTGCGCACACATGCGTTCGTCCTCGAGCACCTGTGGAACAGGCAAACGGAGGCCATCATCATGAGCTTTTACTAGTAGAGCAGAAATCATGCCGCTTGTACCGGCGAAATTTAACAGCCAAGAACATGTCGACCCCACGCTGACCGGCGAAGAAACTTACCAGAACAAGCTTTGCCTGAAGAAAGCAGTTGTCAGCGTTTCCAAGGTCTTCACAAATCCCTCCAGGGTCAAGTGCTGCCAGCCAACAAACGAGTGGTTGAAAACAAGGCCGGCAGAGCAGCCCAAGTCAAGCCGGTTTACTGGCTACGCAGAGTCGGCATGCTTGAATCTGGCGGTGGATGCTTTGGGTAACGAGTCCCACGAGAACCAGATCGCGCGTGTGCGTCAGTGCGCCAGCAGTGGCGGTGGGACAGACGTGGTGCCGTGCAATGCTTGCATCACGAAGCTTCCTCTTGGTCGTCGGGGTCGTCGGCGCAGCATCGCCAGCAGGTCACAGTTAAGCAGTGTCGCATCGGTCCAGCTATCGACCCCGAGACGATTCCAGGGCCTAACTGCACTCTGCCGTGAAACGGTATCAGCGCGCTGGGTGGAGTCTCGACGAAGCAGGACTTAACAAGTGGACCGTACCAACCAGAGGCACGGCGAGAAGGCAAAGCGCGAACCAGAGCACACCGGTCGACCGTGTGGTTCTTAAGAGGAAGTGCAAGACTAAACAAAATCTTCCCATCACGGATGCAATCATCGGCCTCAAATGCAACTTGCAGGCTCGTTTTTAAGCGACAGGTGCATTGGAGCAGCTGCGTGGAGCGGCTGTGAGCGATGGCAAGGCGCCCGCTTTGTCCCGGCCCCACTTTGACCTTCGGCCTCCGAATTATCGGCTCATGCTGAGCCGCTCAGGGTTCTCAGCTTGTTGGCTGCGCCTCGGCCGAGCTTCTCGCAGTGATGCGTGAATGCCGCCGCATAGCGTTCAGTGTTACAGTGTCCTGGGCTGCGTTCAGCCAGGCGACCTTTCAGCTTGGACATCAGGTTCTTAGCCTTCAGCTTGTTGAGAAGGCGTCGATTCCTCGCGGAGTGTCAGGCTGCGGCTCCCGGAAAACTGGAGTCCGCCAGATATGTCCTCTTCTTCAGTTTTTGCGATCGGAATGCTTCCATGAAGAAGGGATCCTCGGCCACAGCTCAAAGCGAATCAGCGGCATCTTCAGTGCCAGCTAGAGTGCTAGAGGCTTAGCTTAGAGGCTCAGCCCTGCCAAGTGGCATCCATGTTGGCGACGACTTCTTCAACCTCTGCTGCGTCCTCTTCGGTGAGCTCCTCCCGCACCTCCTGAGACACAAGGTTTCACGCCACTTCTCACTGTGCTGAGTCGTGGAGTCGTGGAGTCGTGGAGTCTGCAGCTCCTGAATGCGCCACACACCATCCTCGTCTTTGGCGTAGATCAGAGGCACCTCGCATTCCGGGTACAATGACCCGGCCATCCGCTCGCTGCGTGGCACTTCTTCGGGATACTGACTGAGCGACTAAGTAAGTAAACGTTAACCAGTCGACCTAAATCAACCAATCTGTGGCATCCCCGACCCTGGGAACCTTAAGCCTGAAGATCATGTCCAAGCAAGTCACATAAACAGCATTCTTGAACATGAGCATGCCGTAAACCACCTTGGCAACTCGAGAGCATGCTTCATTCCGGCACCACCGCGGCGCCTTCCGAGCTTGAGTAGCAAGCAACAGTCGGATCACAGGGCCCGAACAGCTCCGATTGCTGGGATCATCAGCCACGAGCCTAAGAGGCCCGGGTGCCTGAGCGGAGCAGCGGAGTGTCTTGCAGGGAACAAAAAGACTCCTCGCGACAAGAGAAAGAAATTTTGTCAAGCTGCCATGGCTCGGCCAAAGGTGGGAGAATCGCCAGAAACCAAAAGCACTTTCCAAGCAGCCACCTTTTCTGCACTTAGAGGTTCACTACACACTGAAACATAGGTACGGTGCCAGACAAGTGATGGCATAGATGCCAAATTTCTGCAAGCCGGTGAATGACCCAAACTGGCCCAGAGCTGGTTCGTTGATTTAATGGAGATACAATGCAGCAACAACAGCGGCGGCAATACTCAGAACCACCACCACCAGCACCAGCACAAGCAGCAGCACCAGCAAGCACGAGCAGTAGCACCAGCATGCCCTGACCGGGTAGGCAACGAGTTCGTTGGTGCATGTGCAGAGTGATGATCACGATTGGCTTTCAGCTCCGGCTCCTCTGTGATGGCAGGTATTTGTGGGAGCATGTCGCCGAAGTGCGTTATGCCCGTCTTGCCGCATTCATGCACAAATGTGTTGTCAGGTGGCATCCATGTGGTGACAGCAGCACTGTAGCATCAGTGGCCACGCAAGCATTCTCGTCTGCCTGCGACTTGCACTTTGTGGCTTGCCTGCCAGCTTCCTTGCTTAGAACAGCAAAAGCCTTGCCCGATAGCGTTTCTTGCTTTCCTTGTTACCTCCGTCCTTTGCTGAATTTCCTTCGGTGGCTGAAACGCTGCAGGAGCAGCATCCTAGTTCGCCTGTATCACTGTAACGGTGAACGAGAGACCTCTTGAGTGGGACAAGGATTGCCCTCCAAACTCCCAGATGAGATGCATGAGGATCATCTTGAGCGTGTCGCATAGTGTTCGCGCCAGCGCAGAGATGTGCTTTAGGATCATGATGTGGGCCACCTTTGTGGAAGCTACAGCAGCCGCTATCATGCGTTGGTGTCAAGTCTGCCGGCCAAGGCGCGTCTGAAGTCAAATGCGATGAGACGTTGAGGATGAGGCAGAAGGCCAGTGCAGGGCTGGTAGACATCATGTATAGCACGTCCTGGGATGCAAGGCGCTCACTAGCGCAGGCACGGGCGACAAAGCTTTCGCGAAATTGACGGGTTTTGCATGTCTGTGTTGCAGCTCACGGCTCGTAAGGATCATCGAAGGGACGGCGCCCTCCGTCCGGAAGATCCACGAAGATGCTGCGGGACTTGTACATGGAACCTCTCAGCTACGGAAGGCACCACTCCCTCACAGAGAAAGAGAAGGACAGAAAGAGAGAGGGAGGGCGAGGGGAGGGAGGGAGGAGGCAGGAGGGAGGAGAGGTCTCGGCTGCCGAGTTGCAAGCGGTGAGGAAGACCCCAAAGCTCGCCTTGGACACCAACAGAGCTAAACCCTTTCTAGAAAGGCTCAAGCTCTGTCGAAGACAGTCGAGATCAAGCTACTTTAGCCTTTAGCTGCTATGTTGCTGTGTCTGGCTCAAGCCTCTTAACTCTGTGTCGCCACTGCTTCGAGCCCAGCAACAGACCAGCTGAGCAAGCTCACTGGGTTGGGCCAATATCGGCGAACAGCAATCTCCTGCAGGATGCAAATGCGCAGCACAACGCCAAGAATTGCTGTGGAGTCGCATTGGCAATATGGTTGTGCTCTTTCGAAGGCCTAATCTCGTCCGTCTTTCTGGTGGGCTTTCCAGATCTTGCAAGCGCGACTGTAGGTAGGACCCTCTGCACCGCGTGTCGCGATTGCCGGGTCCGGCTGGCTTCTTTGCGACCAAAGCATTAGACTCTTCTGGAACACTGGAAGCATTCCGCAGAATTCTGCAAGCGATTGCTACGCGCAACGCATGAGCAAGGTTCAGCATGGAATATAGCAGAACATGTCAGCATTGGGCAAGAATGCGAGCGTGCGCCTGCTGCCTGGAACGTTGTTTTGTCTTCTCACAGCTTATGAGGACGGGGTCGGCTCGACTGGCAAGTGGGCTTTCTACTGAATTCTGCTTGTTCAGCGGCCGATATTCGGACCCGACGATGGAGAAAAAAACAACATCGGAAACGCGTGCTTGTCAGTACCAAGACGGACTGTTTCAGAAAGGGTGGTCTTGGGCTTGGTCTTGCTTTTGGGCCAGGCTGGCTCTGCCCAGTGCAGGCCTAAAAAAGCAGCTTGTCCTGGAAGATTAGCATCATCGCGTGGCAGAGTTCAGATAGCAGCAAGAGCCTTGTGTTGCTTTTCTATGCGATGCCCTGAACCACATGGAGAATCTCGAGAGCCCCTGCTTTGTTGCTGCCAAGGTGCATGGGACCTTCCAGATTGAGTTCCTGCTCCCCTTTCTTCTTTCCGCCTTTACCTCAGAGGACAATAGGCAATCGAACAACACTGCAACCATCACGCCTTCAGGATATTCTCGCCTCCGTGTATTGGACAGTCACCCGCTCGTATCCCTGCTCCTCCAATTAGTCATGACTTTATCGCCGTTGGGCTCTCCTTGCTTTCTGCTTAGTGTTGCCATCTTCGAGGCATCATGCTTTTAGGCATGCTGTGCTGCCCGGCGCTCCTTCTGTCAGCATCCGTGCGCAAGGTATGAAGTATCCCCAACTCATTTGGGCACTTGCGCAGCTCTAATCCTCCACTACCACTCTTTCATTTTCGCCGGCGTGCAGAATTTGGGGCTTCCCACTCCTTTGCATTTTGGACGGTCCTCCTCCGTTTTACGATGTAGGCGTTCCTACCCATTGCTTGTAACGCCACGATCTGGAAGCGGAACCTCCTCGTTTCCGGTCCACGTCCTCGTGTTTCGCGGGGTCATTTGCGAGGTGTGATTCAACATCTCTTCTTTTCCCTGTTCGCCGCGCCGCGCCTATGGAGACGTTCTGTTGGTTCAAGAAGCCAATGGCTAACACAACACTACACTGGCTCCGTCGTGGGTGCGCACCCAAACGCCGCGTGCCCGGCCCTTCGAATATGCAGGCCGGGGCGCCTTCGGCCACTGTTGAAAGCAGCAAAGCAGCGGAGATGACCAGAAGGGAACACCACCTTGACTTCAACACTGTTCCAACCGTTCCCAGCTACTGCCATCAAAACGCGGATACACGCTAAGTCCGCCACTGCGGAGCATTCAGCCTGCGCCTGGGTTGCAACACAGCGGGGCCTTTCTATGGCTACGTCCTCCTCCTACTCCGATTTGGGCAAGGCACCCTAAGATAACGACGGACATGATGGCCATGAAAACTGCCTTGGAGCTTTTGAACACGACCTCAGTTGCCAAGCGCGATCCTCCCCCTACACTACATCGAACTCGTGCTTGAAAAACAGTCCAGCCACGAAAACCGTCGTGGGCGCTCCGTACAGCAGTCCCAGGCTTGACAAGGTTGCCATCAACATCCTTGGAGAAGCGAAGAAAACGAGAACGACACCGTCTGACAACGCCGCCACCGGTGCCACCAGACAGATCCAAGAAGCTCGAAGGTCGTGAAAACGACCTAGCGACACTTTTTTGTGAGGCCCCCTTCCAAGCGTGACCGTTGCATGCCATGGCACCAGCAAGACCCATGGCATGAGGTGATCCAAGATCGTCTTCGGCGTCCCTTCGTCGTCATCGTCGTCGTCCTCCTCCTCAAGAGATTGAGAGGAAGCTTGCGAGGAAGCAGAGAAGGCGAAGGGCGAAGGAAGCGGCCTCAGCTCCGCCTGGCCTCTTCCCTGGCGGCCTTGGGCTTTAAGCAGGTCTTGATGGGGAAGAGAAGGACCTTCAGGAGGAAGACCGTCATGGTCAAGCTCAGCGCATACCTTGGGCTGAAAGGGAAGGGTGAAAGAGGAAAAGTCTCTGGAATCTGCTCATCAAATGCTTCTTGTGACTTGTGTTCTTAACTTCCAACTGCAAGTCAAACAGAAGATCGGTTAAGTGCGATCAGGTCGAGTAGAAACCTTCCAGTCTTGTTTTTTTTCTGATGCCGCCTCTAGTCTGTGCTGCCAAACAGCCACCCCTGCCCCTGCCCAAAGACAAATCTCACGTGTTTGAAGCACACGACAGATACACGTCTGGTGGAAGGGCTTTTGATTTGAGGACCAACGGTTGCTTCCGCTTCACGAAAGTTGGGAAGAAAGAAAAGTAGAGCCTCTCAGAAACGAAAATAGAAAAACAGAAAGGCCATGGGAAGGGTGAAGTTCGAGCACAACCATTCCCAATGCGGCTTTTGTCGGTTGGAGAGGAGGCCCAACGAAAACTGGCTCAAGCCGACCGTCAAAGGATCAAGTCCTAGCTCAACAGAACCTGAAATCGCTAGTCGGCGAAACGTGCTGGAAAGACCCGCGCACCAACCCCTGCAGAACCTGCAGCAGTCACTACAGTACTGTGCAGCTTCAGCCGCTCACTCTGAACTATACAGCTGAGCAGCGAGAACTTGTAAGGGTGCCCGTGGTCCCATCGTCCAACAGCCTCCATGTGAAAGAGGCATGATTTCGTCCTCAGCATCATCGAGAAGAGCTCAGAAGAAAAGTGAGGGAAAAAGCAGTAAGCAGGGACCTACGAAGTTCCTGAAAGCAAAAAAGGAACCGCTCTAATTCGCTCCAAAACACATTGACATAAGCACGCCCAACACCGTGATAACCTCAGATGCAGCATCGGCAATGCCTGCTATTGCATCACTGATGCGACTGACTGGCCCGGTGCATCGCCACTCTGAGACAGGAGAGACAGTTTCAGAGAAGCTTGTGCTCGCATCGGAGGGTACCCGGTTTTTCATATGGCCTAAGCCACTGTTCCTGTCAGTGGCCTTCGCGGATTCGCGCATTGATTGACCTGCCCTTCTAGCAGCCTATCAAGATGATTGCCAGAACATCCGGGCTCGACAGGGCTTTTAGCTCGGCAAACCAGTGGAGGTCAAGCGCGATCGGCGCTCCGCAAGAGCTCTTCTGAATGGAAATCAACACAAGCGAGCAACGATGATGATGTTGGTGATGTATGCCTTGCACAGCGAGCGTCCGACAGTTGCACCCTTTTAGATCGTTCTTGCCCACGCGCCTTCTTCTGAGCTTCATCTTTCAAGCTTCGCATATACTTCCTAGGTGGCTCTCGACATGCTATGAATCTTCTATGCATGGATTTTGGAAAAAGAGGAATCAGCCGAGTGTCGTGTCTCGGCTCCATCGGATGGCATGGTTCTTTACCTCAGCACAAATTCAGGGCAGCACTTCGTAAGAGGCGCACGCCAACACTTAAACGAGCCCAGCGGCTTTCACCATCATCATGACACCTTCGCCCGAACACAGTATAGGCTCAAGCGCTACGCAAATCTCCAACATCCAAGCAGGTTTGGCGGGTCAGTCGTCCGGGCTCCCAACCGCGAGCTGTCCGCCAGCGAGAACCGCCCGAGGGGCCATGGGATGCCTCAGCTGAAGGCTGTGCAAAGCCCGGTCTTCCAAAGTCTGAGGGCCCTGCTGACAATGCCTCAGAAGTCTGAGGATCACCTGCCGACAGCTTGTGCAGTCGAACCCTGACTTCCTGGGAGTTATGGCTTCTCTGAGTCGCGGGCTTAGCAGAGGCTCCGAAGGCTGAGAGGCCGCCATCGACAGCAAGCGAGGCTTCAGCCGGGAACGAACACGTTCGATAGCAGCTGAGCAGATGTTTGCGTTCTGGTATCGTGCGCGCTTACTCGATTCCTCTTGCTGCTGTTGATCTATAGGACTATAGGAGGGTGCTTCTTGCCATCGTGGCTTGCATCAGGGTCACGCGTCTGTCAGCAGCTCGAGAGCCCAGATGCACTTTGCTCCAAGCACTCCCAAGACATCAGGACACTCATCAGGACAGCACTCAGCCCTGACTCCGCCCTTTGGCCCTTCCTGGCAGCTCAAGGCACCTCCGGCTCGAAGCGCTCCACGGAAGGAGTCGGCTCGAAGCCTGCGGCTGTCTCGACGTCTCGCCATGCACAAGAAGAGCCCCGGTCTCAGCGCTGCCTGGGCCCTTTTTGGGGGGCCGCCAGGGCTCGAAGAAGGGCTCCCGGGCGGCGCGACGCCTTGAGGAAGGAGGGATTCTGCCCCGGAAGCCGGGCTGCTGCATCGCAACGGACCAAGGCGGCCGAGTGCCAAGCAAAATCTCCACGGAATGCTCAGCAAAACAAAGGACTCGCCGATCGACCTGCGAAGGGCCAAAGCGCCCGTGAATCGCTGCATCCGGGCAAGTTCGACCAGACAGAATCCGAACTGCACCACTGACCGCGTGCCACTCTACACCTTGACGGTTTCCCACGAGATACTTGACCCGGGTTCACGCTGCTCAGGCCCAGCCTCGACCTCCTCCAGTGTTGGGCGGTGATCGCTTTCTCCTGGCGGTTTGGTCATAGAGCTACGGCCACTGCGGTTACAGCGATGTCAGCTCCTGCGAGCAGGGCTTCCTTCAGGACCGACACGTGCACCTCGGTCCGTCGGCGAGCACGACGGGGTTTCACAACTGGCAGTAGCCGCAATCAGTAACGACGCAGCCCGCTGTCTGCTGCTCGGCCCTGCACGAGCAGAGTGATCGAAAGTGCCGCGGCCACCTGGCCTTCCAACGGCAGACCTTGCATCAGACTGATCGAAGTGTGGAAACAGCAAGGAAAAGCTGGGGGCCTCTCAACCTTCAAGGCCGCTGCCAAGCCCCTGAAACCCTTCAGATCTTTAGATTTTTAGGGCCCTGCAGTAGGGCACCGGGGCCGGGCCCCGAACTGCTCCTCGCAAAGAGGAAGGCCGTCTCTGCGAGCTCCTCGGGCCGCCAGGCACCTGAGAGCAAAACGGCGCGAGAAGCGCATGAAATCGACTCCGATCGTGCGATCTCCTTCAGTTTGTTGCTTGTGGCTCCCGGCTTCGGACGAAGCCGGGCCGAGGGAGCCGCGGCCTGGAGCCGGAGCCCGAAAAAGAACGGCAAAGAGCACTAAGCCGGACAGGAGGCTCCGAACAGGGCCGCTCTCATCAGGGACCCGGCACCCAGTCGCGCAGGTGGTGCGGAGGCCTGGTCTTCACCTCAAAACGTCAACAGAAACTGCACTCTCTTCTCGGCCTTCAAACGCCCCTGCACCGGGCCGCCGACTGCTGGGCCCAGGATGAGCACCGTGACCTGCACCGAAGGGCACTGGCTTTACATCAGGTCTACGGTTGCCGATGCGGTTGAGGAACCATAGGCGCGAGCCTCGGCAGGTGGCTGCATCTTGCTCTTTGCTCTTCTGTTGGGCATCCGAGCTCCGGGCATCGAGAAGGCTTCCGAATTCCACATGCCGGCGTCCCCTGACGAGCTACACTTTCGGCGGCCTGCCTTAAAGAACTGACCACAGCAAGGCCTGGGGCCTAGGGCCTGACTACCAACCTGAAACATCGGAAGTCTCAGCGAAGACAATGGCCTGCAGCTCGAAGCACGGACAGTGGCAGCCTGGCATTGCGCAAATATGCGGAAGCCTTCCGCTACATGCAATCGGCTCCAACGCAGCACCACTTATCTCGTACTCTGCGCATTGCTGGGCCCCGCATCCGAATGGGTGCTTTCTCTGGCCTCAGTCCGGGCGGCTGCAGGAAGGGCCCGTCGCGAGCGGCTTGCGCGGCCGCGACGAGGAACTGGCGGAGCCTTCGCTGCCTCGGAGCATTTGATTGGCCAAGGGCTTCGCAAGGCCTGGACAAGAACTCGCAAGATGCGCCTTCTTTCTGCAGAGGACTGGGCGCCAGCTTTGGGCGCAAGAGGCGATCGCCAGGCTACGGCTCCCGTCTGCTCGGGGAGTTACGAGTAGTCGTCTCCAATGGAGGCTCATGCTGTTGATGCCATCCTTCTCTACTCAGGATCACAAAGCTCAATCAAAGAAGCCTCAGGTGGATTTCAGAGGGCACTGCAGGGAAACAGCATTCGACACCCGCTGCCGAAATGATGCCGAGACGCGAGAGCATCTAAAGGATCCTCCTCCTTTCCAGACCTCACCATTTAAGGGATAGTCAAGGGCTTAAACGGGACGCGGTGCAGCTACGGCGATCCCCGATTCGTTGATCAGTCTTCCGACAGAGTTTCTGCCAGAGTACTGCGAATTTGTCTTCGTGTTCTTTTCAATCTCTCGGTGCCCGGCCGGACAAGGGCGACCTCCTGCAACAGTGCCGCCTCAGGACCGTCTTCTTCTACAGCCGCACTGGGAAACGGCTTGAGAGAATCCCAAACATCACCCAAGGCTGAAACGAAGTCCAGCACACCGATTTCGGCGTTGTCGTCTGGGCCACGCAAAAGGACAGTCTGAAGCTCGTTCTCGAAACATTAAGCTGACCAGAAACACCTCATTTACTGCCACGCTCGATTGCAAAGGGCTCAGAGTCACGCCTTCGGAGTGGATGTCTTGCCTGGACACAACTTGCTGTCATTGCAAACCCTTCCTGCGGTCCACCCGCCTGTAGCCCTGGTGCTTCCACTTCGTCACCTCGGCTTCAGGCACAGACACAGAAGAACTTCTACAAGAGCATGTGTGTGTGTGTGTGAACGGTCATGTTGCTGCTTTCGATTCTGAGGTGCCAAGGTATCGAGTTCATGTGCTGCGAGACCAGCATTCACGGCATTCGTCAGCGCACGGCGCAGCCCCGAGGTGGTGAACGCCTGGGCGGGAAGCACACTCCAAGAGAGGTATAGGACAGATCACCGAAGCGATTGCACATGCAGCTGCTCTGCAGGCATTGCATAACCAACCTCAGCTCACTGCCTTCTTGGCACCACCAGCCTCTTGAAAAATCCTGACAGCGAGTTGAACCAGCTTCATGCTAACATGCTGCCGAGGCCGGCTCAAGTGCCTTCAGTATCTTCTTCGAATTGCGCACATACCTGGCCTGTAACACAGATAAACCACTCAAGTTCTAGACTGTTAGGAAACCAATCCCAACCATTCCCGAGTCCTTGCAACCGCCTGCAATGTCTCTTGAGCCTCCGAAGGGCTGTAGCCTCGGATTTCCAACGAATCACGAACATATCCAGCTCTGCAGGTTCACATGAATGCGACCCAGCAACGGTCAAAGTCCATCCTAACTGACAGCGATTCGAGGCGCTTATGAATTGAGAGCGTGGACAAGCCGCACACTGAGGGTCCTCAGGAAGCCGTCCGGTGGAACTGCGAGCTCGCCATCTGCAGCTGCTAGGCGAAACGCGCCCTCCACAGCTAAACGCTTCACTCGCACGTCCTCAGCACACCGGCAAGCTTCATTCATGGTACAAACTCTGAGGACCTAAATTTGACTTGAACGTGCCAGCCAGTCTCTGCCGAGCTGTCAGCACATCGTGCTTTTACAGGATACATTGTGCAGCCGGCTGCGGGCAAGCGGCCACTTCACTTTGTACATGGCAATGGTCCTGAATCGAACTGTTGCTCTCTAACGCCGCAAAGCAAGGAAACCGTCCCTTTGCTACTGTGCGACGGGATGCCACAAATCTCGCAAATCTCTTCGCATACTCTGGCCGAGGAGCCTCGCCGTCCATATCTCGGCAAACACAGCGCCTTCACGGCGCATCCGTCCCTTCTGACTAAAGCGCACTTTCCTTGGCCAGCACCACCCGAGCCTTGAACCCGGTGGCGCGTCCTTCAGACGAACTGGGTTCGAAATTTCCATGGAAGGTCGCGCATTGACCTGTCAGAGCATGGCTCGGGGCTCGGGGCCCAGCTTCGCAATCTTTTTGGACGCTCATTCGCTTGCTCTAAAGAAGCACAGTACACGGAAGCAAGACAAATGCCAGCATGGCCTCCGAAACTGCTACAACACCCTGGCTGCAAGCTGCATGTGGGCATGTAGCACCTCCAGGAGCCAGGGCTGAAGGTTTTTGTCCAGCAGCACCTTGCTGAAGAGTCTGCGCGTCTCTTGGCCATGCGGGGCAGAGCATGCTTCGCTGCAACATCAAGTTTCCGACATCGACACCAAGGATCTGAAAGCAGTTCGGATCATACCTTGCCACAGCTGCTTGACATTTCCAATTGCAGCTGAGACACAGCTCTATGATCGCTGCTGGAGGCATCACATGATAGTTTTCGAGCTCGTTTGCACGAAAGTGCACGAGGGATTACTCAGGACCACGCTCGTCATCAGCCTCCTCTGCGTCCTGGCACAAGACTCTCCCGAGTCTTCCGTGGCAGTGCAGGCTGGACCATGCTCACAAGCGCTGCCACACCATGGCCCACGAATCCAGCGTGGCACGGGATTGCATGCAAGCTGGATCTATGCTGCGACTCGCCGCACCTCCTCCTCGTCCTCTTCCTCCTCGGAGACTTTGCTCTTTTTAGGGGACTTGGACTTGGCCTGGCGAAGAATTCCCATGCAGGCACATATTCAGCACTGACTAGTGGCTATGGTCGTGCCTTTTTCTTTCTCTTCGGCTTGGCTTCTCTGGCCACTCGATCATACGTCACCTAGGCCAAAGAATCTCCCCCTGGATTCTAACCTGTGGGAATCTCTTCACAAACTTCGGTTTCTGCCCAACACAACCGTGTAAAGCTCAGCCACCTTCAGCACGGGAACCATGGCCTGGAATGCCAAGCTTTCAGGAATTCTCCTGCCGCACCTGAATCGTGCCTGCAACAGCACAGCGCAGACCTCTTCGAAGGCAGCGTAGAGCTTCGACTGAGCAGACCAGAGAAGGAAAAAACAAAAACCCTAATCAAAAGAGCTCGCACATTCACGCACAGGCAAAGGCACCTCATCGAAGGCGCGACCTTCGCTGGCTTCTTGAGCTGCTATCTGGCTCAGCCTCAATTCACCCTTCCAGCCCTCCCAGCAGTCTTCGAACATTCCATGGCAACAACAGCACAACCACACCTGCCGAAAAAACACCTTCTACAGTGCAGGAGAAAATTGCATCCATTGCATCCACCCGATCCTTGTCATCGAATACCAAAACCCAAGCTACCTGTAGTGTCCCCTCTCCGCTGCACATGTAAAGCATACTTGGTCGCATCAGCCACACTTGCCTTGGGGGGGCTGGCTCACTGCCTCCGAGTGACAGCGTGCCAAGAGGCCTCTTGCTCGCCTGCGTATGCACGTCGAAAGGATCCTCGTCCTGCAATGCAGAATGAGAGCGCCCGAAATTTCGGCGGAAGCAAGTAACCCGTCCTTGAACAAGGTCGACCTGAGCTTGGCCAAGCCATGTTCCAGTTGCAGCTGACGACGATGGTTAGATGGGAGGAGCAGCAGCAGAGGCCGTCGCTGTAGCAGCAAAGGCAGCAGAAGGGGAGGCGGAGGAGGAGGGAGGGAGGGAGGGAGGGAGGGAGGGAGGGAGGAATGTAACCGCAATTGTGTTTGGCGAGTACTGGCAGTGCTATGTCTTTCTGTAAGATATGATAAAACGCTTGGATGACGATGATGATGATGATGATGATGATGCCGCTGCTGCTGCTGCTGCTGCTGCTGGCGGTGGCGGTGGCGGTGGCGGTGGCGGTGGCGGTGGCGGTGGCGGTGGCGGTGGCGGTGGCGGTGGCGGTGGGCTGCCGGATCAAAAAGGAAATACAAAATGTTTCCACAAAAAATCAAAGATATCAAACACTAAAACCCCTCGAATCACGGCTTTCACGGGGACAAGCGGCTTGCAAAGGCCTTCATGTGACGACATCGTCGTCTTGGGATTTGAAACACCCTGCATTTCAAAAAATTAGTACTGACTGAAAGTGCTCCTGAACCGTAGACCCAAACTGTGAAACCGAAGACCTAGACTTATACCCCCAACCTTTAACTGCAAACCAAAACCGTAGTCAGCTACTTGAAAATCGTCTCCAACCTTACGCTGTGAACCCTCATCCCGGGACTAACACCTATGCACACATCCTTCGACCCTAAACTTCTCTAAACCCTCGCCCAGCGACTGGTGCGTCTTCGACCCTTTAAACCTCGCATTTCTTGATATAAACCTTGAGCCAACCACCGAAACCATACCATAACCCTAAATCTCAAAGCCAAGCCCTGACTGAAATTTTTTCTTTTCTTCAAACAAACCGAGCTTACGGATTCGACATCTACGGGGTTTCGTGATGAAGGTGCGTTTTGTGGTTTGGGTTTGCGGGCTTATGGTTCTGCAGATTTCCGCTGCGCGGATAAACCCGGTTGGGGGGGTTGGGGGGGTTGGGTGGGTTGGGGGGTAGTTGGGGGGTTGGGGGATTGGGGGGGTTGCGGGGGGTTGGGGGATTGGGGGGTTGGGGGGATTGGGGGGTTTGGGGGGTTGGGTTGGGAGGTTGGGGGTTGGGGGGTTGGGGGGGCTTGAGAATTTGGGATGGTGATGGGGTTGGGATTGGTGATGGTGATGGGGGGTCGGGATTGGTGATGGGGGGGTTGGGATTGGTGATGGGGGGGGTTGGGATTGGTGATGGGGGGGTTGGGATTGGTGATGGGGGTGGGGGGGTTGGGATTGGTGGTGGGGGGGTTGGGATTGGTCATCGGGGGTTGGGATTGGTGGTGGTGGTGGTGGTGGTGGTGGTGGTGGTGGTGGTGGTGGTGGTGGTGGTGGTGGTGGTGGTGGTGGTGGTGGTGGTGGTGGTGGTGGTGGTGGTGGTGGTGGGTCAGTGTCATGATGATGATGCTGATGATGATGATGCTGATGATGATGATGCTGATGATGATGATGATGGTGACAGTGTGGCGATGATGGTGATCGTCATGCTGACCATGACATCTGCTACTACACGTAATTTAGTATTGCAGTTTGCTCGTGATGATATCATACTTGTGAGTACACATTGCATGCTTAGGTGCATGGACAGAATCCACCCACCTGTGCCTGTATCATGCACATACGATTATCATTAGGTTCTCGCGATCTGTCAAATGTTGCTATTAAACATGTTCTCCTTACGAATGTCACTACTGTTTCTGTTCGCACACGACAAGCGAAGTTGCATTGTTCGGAGCGGAACAGCACAGCACCTGAAAACGCATGCAAAGCATTGCCTGCAGGCAGTAGGCCACTGACTTCTTGTTCACAGAATAGTTCGTGAGGTGCATGTAGACCTGCAGCAGATGCATTCAGCTGTGTCGATGCTTGAATCACCCACAGCGCTCCAGCACGGCCTCATTTGCGTTTGCCGCGGTGGGTTCTTCATATTTGGCAGTGCAGAATCGTGCCAAGCCTTCCTGGAAGCCATTTGCAGCAAGGGCTACCACAAGATTTCTTGACGGCTCCTTGCACATGTAGGCATCCAGTGGATCCAAGGAGATCACCTTGGGCTTTCACCAAGCTTCCCCCGGACCACGACATGGTATCAGCAGCAGCCAGAGCTTCGGTGGAAAGACGGGGGAGGCTGAATGAGTACTTCGGTCTCAAAGCAGAGCCAAGGCTGAACTTGTTTTACTTCGGGCAGCCGAAGGGCCACCACGTAGAGCCGCAGGTCGAACTTCAAGCCGTCCAAGAGCAGCGGCTCGGGCAAGTAGCGTTGAGCCAGGGCCTGCGCAGGCATGCCGTGTGCCCTGGGCCCTGGGCCCCCTGCATCCTGGGAGGAGCCGAGTCTCGGGCCCCGAAACCTGCGCCGTAGTGGGCCTCACAAGGAGATGCTGCAATGCTGCAAGCCTAGCCTGAACATCGCGCCTTGGCAGAGAGCTTCAGCCGAAGGCTGGCTGCGTCTTGGACCAGGAAGATACCCTCGCCTGGACTCCATGGGGATGAAATGCGGCCGACGGGCCCCGGTCGAGGGCCTTGAGAGCCGCCTTCCGGCTTCACGATCACGGTGCTTCCCTCACGGAAACAGAGGCAGCCTACGAGTTTCTCCTTCGGGGCAGAGCTCCATTCGCTTGCCTTGTGCTTGTCCAGCCACCCGCACAGCTCGTCGGTTTCCGCGGGCAAAAGCCAACCTGCACTTGCAGCATGTTGCAAAAGCAGCCATGCAAGGCTACGACTCGTCCAACAGCTGTGGGCGGGGCTCTTGGGCCAAAACCGGAACTTCTGCGGCCACAACTCGGGATAATGCTCGTGTTTGGGACAAAACAACCGACCACCAACACGAGTGCTTCAAGGCTGGTCGCCATGCAACATCAAATGAGGACTATGCCTTTTGCAGAAGACGTAGCGCCAGTGCCATATTCACCTTGTCTCCGAACGCTTTATGAAGCGCCAAGCCCCCGTAACTCGAGCTACAAAACTCGATGAGAGGGGAAACGTAGCCGCAGTCGGAGTCGGAGTGAAGTTGAAGAAAGCAGACAGATTAATCATCGCAGGAGTAATCATCTTGGCGGCAAGAAGAAGAAGTGATCATCAGTGATGCTGTCACTCGTGTTGCCCGGTGAGGGCACAGCAGCCTTCTTTGCTGGCTGATGCTGACTGTAAGGCCGAGGCTTTGTCGCAGATGCAACCCATCCCAGGAAGCCGGTTCACCTTAGTCTCTGTCGGCTTGAGATCTGTCGACAACCACAGGAGCTCCCGGCAAAGCCCATGCTGAGTGCTGTGCAAGACAAGCCTCCGAACATCACTCGCCTACCCACCAACCTACCGCCCACCCCCGCCTACCTACCCACATATGTACATACATATGCACACGAACAAAGGCTATTCCAATGGATCCTCTTCGCTTGCTCTGTAGTCCCAGCAAAGGCGCAGGAAAACGAAAGGCAGTCGCTTGAGAAAGTTCTTCAGCTCTTGTCCCTCCAACCCTATGAACTCAAACGGCCCTGCGCCAATGCCCAACATTCTCCCCCGGGCTGCTTCCCAGAAGCCCAGGCTGAGCTCGGCAGCCGTGGCACTTTCTCCTTGCATCATCATCAAGTGCACACTACCCTTCCGCGTCTCTAGCACGTTTAGGGTTTAGGTTTAGGCTTAGGGACGTTCACTGAGAACTGCTGTTGACGAGGGTCCGTTGCCCCAGGATGGCAGAGACGCTGCAACAGAGCCTGTCCGCTCCAAACCTTGACCCAGCGAGGCACAGGAGTCCCTGTATGCTGGTCATTACCAGGCGCTCGGCGAAGTAAATCTTGGCACTTCCGGAGGCATCCTCCACTTGCTCCCAGCAAGAGTCCTGCATTGAGCTCAGGATGTTGCGTACTCTGGACTAAAACTGGCGCATCCAAGTCCTCGCCGCAGACTATGTCCAGCAGCGGCTTGCAAGAGCGCCGCAGGCAAGCACTGGAGTTTACGCGAATGCCTCCCTTCCTGAGCTGGGTTTGGCTTGCAGAGTGTAGGCAGGGTTTAAGGGTTCTGCTTGGGGAGACGGACAGATTCCGCTGAACGCTGCCGCCAGGTCGCTTCTTGCGGGCTTTGCTGGTCGACGCCTCCGAGCTGCCTGCACCTGGCTGGATATCGGCTCTAGAATCTCTCTCCCAATCGAGTATCCAAATCTTCCGGGCTCCTCCGACTGTCCGCAGCACTTTCGCTAAGCCGCGACATCCAGGAGCCGCACCAGTCGGAGTCTCGTTCTCCCGCTTCTTCTGGACGAGGTGCCTGATGATCCACCTCGCTTCTCAAGTTGAGACTCTGTATATCGCTGCACCTGTGCAGCTCCACTGTGGCAGAGCGGGAGACTTTATGGCGATCAGACAGTGCGGATCGAGTCCCGCACTGGTACGGGTCCGAAGGCTCTGCTGCCGCAAGCTCTCTCACCAGTTCCGGCAGAAGCTCATCAAGACCATGTGCCTCGCATGACGAAGGCCACATCACTTGCTATGACATGAAAGACGCTCGTGGTGCTGTGCTGACACGGTAACCCCAGGCTCACTGCAGAGCCTTTGCCGCTTCAGCCCCCGCCTTGAAGTAGGGACTCCAAGCCTCTGACGGTGCAAGGCTCGGTCTGTCATCTGCGGAGTTACGGCTTCGATTTGTCAGGGCTTGGGGCGCGAGTTTCAGAACAGCGCGCCGCTTTTTGAGAACAGCGCGCCGTTTAAGTGCAGGCCCTATAGGGTTGCAAGCTGCGCTGGAAAGCAACCACAGCGGAGGGGCAGGTGCTGAACAAAGGGGCCTCGCCTCCCCGGTCGTGCTGCCATCACCTGGCACCAAAATCTGAAACTTTCTCGGCTTCTTTCAGCGACTCGAACCACACAGCGCCATTCTCCCCAAAGGAGATATTCGGGTCTGACATGCGACCACGGGGACGCGGGGAGAGCATGAGAGCAGCACGGGAGTGGCTTGCACAAGGGAACCAACCTATTCCCCCGCGTGCGCGCGCCAGCAGATCTCAGCTCGCCGCCTTCGGCGGCGTCGCCTTCGACGGCCCCTGCCGCAGTCCGCAGCACCTCTCGCTTCCGTGAGATACCCGGAACGTGAGAGTTGTAGGATCGACCACCAACGCCTTCACAGCATCCGCACCGGATCCGGAGGCGATCTGAGCGATCTCGGGCTGCTTGAGTGACGAGGGTGACCTAATTTTTTGGGAATTTCCCCAGGGCGAGGAAGGGAATAACACCCCCTGACTTGCTGGCAGGCGGCGACGGCAGGACAGAGAGCGAGACATCATCTTGCATGCCCTGACGACGTGTAGGCTGGTCAACTGCAAATGCTGCTGTCCGTGCTTGCAGTTGCAGTGCTCTTGCTTCTGAATTTACCACCCCAGCGATGGCTGCTGACTGCTTGAGCCCGGGCAGCATGAGCGCGACTGTTAGAACCCACGCTGCCACGCGCTGCCTTCGAGGAACTCCTCGTCCAACTATGCGCATGCGGTGGTCAAAGACTGTTATGACGGCCTATCTAAACTAGCATGTCCGTGTCAGACATCGTGCTCTTCAGTCAGCGGCAGTAACTCCAAGGAAACAGCTGGTACTGAACACTGCTTAGCCATGCAACGTGTCATGTCAGATATCTGGATGGAACAAGATGGAACCGAAGCGCGGAAGCGCAGCAACAAACCGCAGGGTGGAGATGCAGCTATGCTTCCCCGCATCTCCGCGTTTAGACTGCCGTTGCCTGGCGTGCGTGATCATGGTTGGGGGCCGTGTCTACTCTGCACTCCGCCACGCCCCGCCTTCCGAGCGCTGCCAGATCGCCAGTTGAGCGGCTCCGGCGCACATGGAGCGGAGCGTGGACGGCGGCGCCCCGGCCTCGTGAAGCCGCGGCAGACACGGCGCCGGTCGCCGATCGCGTTGGTGCGCGCGCCTCCTGCAGGGCACAGCTGGAGAGCGCCAGCAGCCTCGGAGCCGCGCCGCCACGGAGCAGGCGCCGAGCTGCTTCCTCGGCACAGGCCGGGCTCTGGCCGGAGCCGCATCCACCGTGCTGGGCTTCTCTGAGGGGCCGACGGTGACGGCCTCTGAGCCTGACAAGATCGGATCAGCGGCAGAAGCAGAAGCGGCAGGCCGGCGGGTGCTGCCTTCCTCCGCGACGAGCTCCGACCAACCCTGCAGCCTCGGACAACGGCTGCGGCTCTGAGCATCGTCGGACTCCGGACTGAATCCCGAGGCCCGATCAACAGCGCCACGTCGCAGGGTCTCAAAGTCGTGGCGATCCTGAGAGCTGATGCTGGGCCACGTCTGCGCTATAAGTCGAGCACCGGGAAAGGCAGGAAGATGTCGAAGCCAGTGGTAGCAGCTAACTCAATTCCATGATGGATCCCAGTCACTTCCACCCAGCGAGCGGGCCCGACCTGGGCAGTCGAATCCGAAAAAACAACATGTCCATGTCATGTCTGTCCCACCCTGTCTCCCCCTCTTGCCTGCTCCCCTCCTCTGCTCCAATCTGAGCCTGTGCAACCCTACAACTTCCGATCTCTCGGGTCTTTCTTGTCAAAGGCGACCCAGCAAGACAGGTTCAGCAAGCATGCAAAGATGTTGCGTTCAGCAAAACACTCGTCGCCAATCGATCAACACGGCTCTTACCGATGCGCAGTAAGCCCCTATCACAGGGGTAAACGTCGCCAAATCCATGCCTAAGGATCATGAGTGGTGGACCCCAAGCAGGCTTGAACCCCAAAAAGGAATGATGGATATAGCCAGTCCCTAGATCTAAGGGATTGGTGGCTGGCAAAGCCTGAACCTTAAGAGTAATGCCCGCATGGCAGCTCCAGGTCAGCAGAATGTCCCTACGATAATCTCGGGCATTCATGCACTGCATACGGAAACACGGAAGAGGCCATCTCCCCCTGTGCACTGTTCCGTGCTGATGTGTGTTTCTTCGAGGAGTGATGGGCAGCAAAGCCGCGCTGACAACGAGTGATGTGCACCTCGAAAAACATTTTCAAACCTGTTCCAACGAGGTGAAGAGTAGATGCTGATGCCCATCCTCCTGGAAGTCGTCGTCATCATCATTAGCAGCACAGCCATCTCAAAAACGTTCATCTTTTGCATCACCACCACCAGCAACAAAATCGATCTCACCGTGATCATCATCATGATCATCGCTGTAGCATCACTCTCACCACCATCGTACTCAAGATCGATGGGCCCTTTTGCCCTCCTCCCCTTGGGCCCCGGGCGCGAGCGCCTCCAGCGCCGAGGACGCGAGCGGATCGCCCGCGAGCGCTTTCAGCGCGGCGATGCCTGATTTCGAGAGATTCTTGGCGATCTTTCTCGAACTTTGTGCGCATCAAAATATGCATTGTGGGATTGGATGAGACCAGAAAATCTAAACCAGATTAAGTCACACTATCCTTACTGTATTATGCTTCATCGATGCTATGCTGCCGATGCTGTCGATGCTATATACAAGCTGTGATTTTCTACTGCAGCTGTGGTTGCGACAAAATGAGAAAAAAAGCATGGACTATTCGACTCATTGAATACCAGAAGCGCTTCTGTCATGTAGCATTATCACGGGAGCCTTCTCCTTGGGGACCGTGTTGGGGCATCGGCACTTGCGGCTTCGGGTCTCTGCTTTGGGTGTCAGAAACTGTGGATACGTTAGTCCTGTCACTCCCAGAACTGCAGCACATGATCCTTCACCTGCGGCATCTGCATGAGTTGGAGGCTGAGCATGGGACTCTTCACGGCGGAGCAAGCCTTCAGCCAGCAAGAGCAAGATCCGCAAAGTAGCGGCTTCAAGTAATGACCTTTGTGAAGCTTTACCATTGCACTTCCGCGCCTGCGCCGGCCTCAAACTTGGAACCCTCTCCACGAGCTCCTCCAGCAGGGCACCAACCTCACACAGATAAGATAACAAGCGAAACTCCAGATGCAGAGAAAGAGTCGCACGCAACTCACCGGCGCCACAGCATGCACCCACAGTGCAAAGATCCCAGCAAACTGCTCTGCACGGCTGCGGCTTCGGTGCCGCCGCCTGCAAGCAAGAGAGAGAGAGAGAGAGAGAGATCCACTGGCCCGAAACAGACGGCCCGTTCTGTCGACAACTTGATCGAGCTAGCGGCTGTCGAGAACTCTTCCGCAGATGCAGGTAGGCAGCCGGCGGCAGCTGTCCGGTCGCTGAAGTGAGTGCCCTCTGCCTGAGCTTCCCGCAGCGCGACAGAAACAGTCGTGAGAGGAAGACAAAGGATGGGGTAACAAGGCGCTAGATTGACAACAGGACGGGAATTCGCGTGAAGAACTGCAGCGTAGCACTCGGTACCCTGCGCAGCAGGGTCCGTGCTGCTGCCACCAGCCAGAAGGCCTGCACCTGGCATAAGTTTTATGTCTCAGGAGAGTCTTCGTCGTGCAGCTACATGATCGCGCGGTCCGATGTCCGGGCGCAGTTGCCAAGTCCTTGCAATGGTTGCAGCATGCTCCTCGGCATTAGCTTCCACAATCGTGGCACGTCACACCGTCAGCAGCTGTATAGCGGAGAGCCTGTGCGGCACCAAAGTGGATTCGCAAAGGCCGACGACATGGCAGGTAGCAAGCCAACTCCTGCCGAGAAGCCAACACCAGCTGTCTGGTGTCCAATCGCGACACGCGCCGCTGGTAGTCTTAGTGTGTCGGTGTATGAAGAAAATGCCAAAAATGCTGCCTAACTATATACACCAAAGGATCTTCGACCATTACCAAGCAGCTTTGCGGCGAGATGTGCCAAAGTACCGGAACCTAGCACGCTGACATGCGAAAATTGGGAAGTGAGGCATTCGGCGGATGTCAGAGATGTCTGCACTTCTCTGAGGCAATGGCCGGCGGCGACTTCTGGTACATTGGCCTCTGACACAGACACGCGAGCAGAAACTCGAAGAAGGAGATTAGGCCCCCTATGCCAAAACCGAGCTGTAAGCTCCCTGCGGAGACATGGACGGCGGCCGTGGCGAAGCCAAGCTGTGGCAAGCTCCGTAAGCAACATTTGGGGGCTTAGGCTTAGGGCCTTAGGGTCAACTTCACAACCTCAAAGGGCAGTACAGGCCTTGCATCGCCTGTTTCAGGCACCGATTCCAGCGCATCGGTGAGCTCCTGGACTTGCACCCCAGCACTATTCATCAAGCCGCCAGCTGCTGCCACATACTCCAACATCTTCAACATGAGAGTAGGCTGCGACGGTCTGATTACAAAGTGTTCGTCTTTGCCACCTTGCCACTACTCTTTGGCCAGTTCTGGTCTCTTAGAGACCTCAGACGTGGCGCTCACCGCATTTCAGGCGAGGCGGGCATGCTGCAGCTGGCTCACGCAGAGCAGGGGGCCTGCTGGGACTCCCGTATAGAACTGGTGGCGAGGAATGGCAGATGCCGCTCTGACACTTCATAACACTCCCAGTATACCTCTTGCATAGCGATCACAGTGCAGCCAGATCTTTGGACAACTCGTCTGGATCTCTCCAGAGCCTAGACTGAAAACTGGAAATTGAAAACAGGTGTTTGCCTCGGCAACCGCGGGCGGCTTTGAGTCAGGAGACCTCGATAGTCAACTGCCCCTTGTCCTCGATGTCCTTGGCACAGGCTGACCTTCGACGCAGGGATGAGGGAGATGCAGGCAAGTGCAGGCAAGTGCATGCAACTCGCAAAACTTGCGAGTTGCGGGGATGGATCCGATCGAGGCGAGTGGCAAGATCGTCTTCATGCCGGCTTGCTCCTGAACCGGAGGGCTCCAGGGCTCCAGTCGCTCCCCGAAAGCGCTTTTTGCGCCCAAGGCCCGGCCTGGGTTCGCGCTTCCTTGGGAAAGCCGATGCGCCGCAGCTGCTCGCAGGCCGCGCGGAGACACGCGCCCAAGGCGTCCCTTTCCGCCGACGCCGCCGCTGCCGCCGCTGCCGGCGCCGGCGCCTCTTCGGCTCCCGGCTCCGGAGCTACGAACTCCGGCGTGGGCTCGGCCGGCTCGGACTCGGGCCTTACAGGAACAGTGGGGGGAGAGGCAACCGTGCACGTGTTCACGGCCAGGCCAGTCCCGCCTTTTCGCAGACCAGGCGAGCGTGAGGCCGACGGCCAAGGCGCAAACTTGCAGTGCCGCTGCTAGGGGAGCTTCACTGCAGTGCTGAAGCACCGTCGGAAAGAGCCTCTGCGGAACTGCGCTAAAACACCAGCGAAGGATTCTCTCCAGCTATAAGGCAAGGGACCCGTGATGCCCGAGGATCAGCAGCGCGGGGCTCGGGATCACGCAGAGCACGGTGGCCACCCGGGCGGCTTCGGCATCGGGAGGCCCCGGCTCCGCAGCAGCTCCCACTTCTTGCTCCCTGCACCATCTGCACCATGCCCATGCCATGCCCATCCAGCACCATTAAACCACTAGTCACACTAGGGTCACTAGAATCCAAAGAAGTGCTCAGCAGGACCCAAGACCGCCCTTGACTGCCAGGCTGCAAGATTCTCCGTGCGCTGCTCAGCACGCCTGCCGGGCCTTTCAGCAGAAACTCCTCGCAGCTGGGAAAGAAGTGGCCAGCTTCGCACTGCCCTACAGAATATTGCAGATTTGCAAACGAGTGTGGAGACTTTCGAAGCACCAGACAGCTCCCGCTGTTCTGCTCGAATATATCCAGAAAGGTCACCCAGCCCCGAAGCTCGTCCTGCGGGCCAGGCCACGCTGCGACACTTGTGGACACAGGCAACTTTGCAATCCGAAAACATCCACATCCCGCCACATTCCCGTCACGCCGCCTTGGAGGATGGGCACAACCTTCAGCTCAGATGTCTTATTGAGCTGCGCTCCTTTCCAGAGGTGCTTCCAGAGCTCCTGCAGCAGATCTCAGCACATAGCGACTGCGACTTCAGAAGGCGCCCCGCCTCCATGACGAAGGCCATCTGTGCGGTTCCGTTGTATTGCAAAAGACACCACGGCTCGGCAAGGGCCATTCCCAAAGCGACCTTACAAACTGTGAAAGCAACTCCGAAAACTTGGACTGACTCTGCGGAAAACGCCATTTTCCGAGGGACGCCCGCTTTGCCACATTCGCACAGGCGCAAGAGAATCATCCTGCGGGATGTGAGCCACGTTGTTGCAAGACGTGCATCACGGGCTGAATGTGCATGAGACCCCTGCAAGATCCCTCTTGTCAAGCTCCAAGCTAACCCCATGGGTCCTTGAAAGGTGTTCACTTAACACGCCTGCTTCAGTGAGAGTCAACCAGGCCCTTATGCAGCGATGAAGATCCACGCGCGTCTTCAGGGAGCCATCGTCGTTTAACGGCCGAACGGACCGCAAAAGCTTCAACAGATCGGCATCCTTCATAATCTTGGCTTTGGCCTGACATGGACTTCAACAGCTGTCCTTTCACAGTTGTCACTCATAGCACTGTGGTGCAGGACTAGTAACAGGAAATGACAACACACTTCCACACCCAGCCACACACACACAGACAGGGTACCATATATGCTACCCCCCCCCTCAGGTACCCAGGTTTTCGTCTTTGTGCTGATAGCACGAAGGAAGTCGGACAGAAAAGGCTGCAAGTGCACGCGCATGCTCGCGATAAGCCGACATATAGTAGTAGTAGTGAGCGAGTGTGACAAATTGCAGGGTATGGCGAAGCAGGCCGACTGAAACCCAGTAAGAGAAAGAGTTTTGCACGGCATAGAGGTGATACTGTAGCATCCCCAAGGCCATGCACGCAGATTTCGGATCAAGGTGGATAGTGGCTATGTTTAATTGGCTGTCTTTATGGTTTTTTACACACGCAACAATCTCTCACATGAATTGCTGTGTTCATTGGTTCATACAGCCATATATGGAATAAGCCGAAAGCAATGTCATATAGTGTCAGTATACTTGTCAAAGCCTTTAGTCTCCGCAGCACTGTACAATGATTCATGCGTGTCTGTCAAATTAGCAGTCAATAGCGACAAAAGTATGAAATCGTGTTTCACGACGGTGTGTGTAGGCTTCGCAATTGTTACTGCAAGTATAGTCTCCATTGCCTTAGGAATCCGATCTCCGTTTCTTTTCCCAGTCATGAAACTGCTACATGTTCTGTTCTTCTATATCGAGCTCAAAATGTCAACTGTGGTTTTAATATTACCTCTCACAGTGTTGTTATCACATCTTGTAAATTGCCATTATTCCTGCTACAGTGGTTATCATACTTCACCAATACCAGGCCATTTAGGACCATGTACCACCCGGCTTGTTTAATTTCTGCATCAAATGTTACTGTGTCAATTACTGTTCTGATTGTTCATTCAGACTGCTTCGTATATTGTTCGGGAACCTTGCTTAATAGTAGCCAAGCATTATAAAGTCAATGAAGTACCTGCTGAGTCCTGTGTTTTATACATTCTGCTAAGTTGAGTATAAACCTACCACAGAGCACCACGTGAATACGTACACTTGTGCTTCAAAGCACTTCTTGGTAGGATGATGGCTAACCAAGTCACACATTGGCTTGCTATTTACCTGCTGAGAGTGGGTTGTTAGTCTTCCAAATCAAACATGATCCAACACGCCGGGGCTGCGTGTTAAACGCTAGGTTGTATGTTGTAGTTAATTAGTTCGACTATAGTTTTTTCACGTCAGGTGACTTTGACATGTTTAATCCGAGTGCAGTTCATCAAAAGTGCATGCATCATACAGGTAATATCCATTTTATTGGTCGCAGAGTCGTTTTCGAAAGTTTGCACCTACCAAATGGTGACAAGTTGACAACGATGTATGTCAGAATTCTGGTGCACATGGTAGTCTTTTGGCTACGGGCTCTTTGTTTTTTTAAGCACCAGTGCCACACCAAACAAGAATACACAACCACAACGACCAAAGACCCCCATGCAAACACCAAGCAACATAAGTAGATACATTTATCTTAAGAAGTGGGTGATTAAGCCAGCTAAGCTTGGTCGTGCAGCAATAGCTTTCTTATAATAAATTTTTGAATCTTAGACATGGAGTACAGCCTTGTATGTGATAAACAGAAAACCCATGAACTGGTGTTCCCACAGTAGTGTCTTCAAACGGAGACTATGAATTACCTAGCTTCGTGTTGGATACCTTACCGGCTTGTTTGGAAAACGCCTCGCACGAGTACGTAAGATCTGCTCAATCGCAACTTTCGGTAACAACGTATTGAAATATGTACTGTGGACAATGTTGGCATGTTCAACCATTCCCATGGATCTGGAGAAACTTCGGGAGCCGGAGCCGCAGTTTCGGGAATAATGGAAGTTGTTGGTAAAACCAACAATTTCCATGATTCCCCTCAGAGAAATCATGGAAATTGGTTTTACCAACATTTCCAACAATTTCCATGAATTTGGAAAAACCTCGGGAGCCCGCGCCATAGTTTCGGGAATCATGGAAATTGTTGGAAATGTTGGTAAAACCAACAATTTCCATGATTTCTCTGAGGGGAATCATGGAAATTGTTGGTTTTACCAACATTTCCAACAATTTCCATGAATTTGGAAAAACCTCGGGAGCCCGCGCCATAGTTTCGGGAATCATGGAAATTGTTGGAAATGTTGGTAAAACCAACAATTTCCATGATTCCCCTCAGAGAAATGATGGAAATTGTTGGTTTTACCAACATTTCCAACAATTTCCATGAATTTGGAAAAACTTCGGGAGCCCGCGCCATAGTTTCGGGAATCATGGAAATTGTTGGAAATGTTAGTAAAACCAACAATTTCCATGATTCCCCTCAGAGAAATCATGGAAATTGTTGGTTTTACCAACATTTCCAACAATTTCCATGAATTTGGAAAAACCTCGGGAGCCTGCGCCATAGTTTCGGGAATCATGGAAATTGTTGGAAATGTTGGTAAAACCAACAATTTCCATGATTCCCCACAGACAGATCATGGAAATTGTTGGTTTTACCAACATTTCCAACAATTTCCATGAATTTTGGAAAAACTTCGGGAGCCCGCGCCATAGTTTCGGGAATCATGGAAATTGTTGGAAATGTTGGTAAAACCAACAATTTCCATGATTCCCCACAGACAGATCATGGAAATTGTTGGTTTTACCAACATTTCCAGCACGTTCCTTCGATTTGGAGAAAGCTCGGGAGCAACACTACAGTAGACGCTACACTTAGAAGCCCAGGGAGCCACAGTAAACAAAAACGTGCTTTCCCAGAGACGCAATGACCAAGGAACACAAACAAATATTAGGGACAAGGTGTCTGGCTTGAACAGGACACAACCTGGGTACCGGGGGGGGGGGTACCATATATATATACATACATATATACATATACAAGTTCAACGGTTCTGAAGATAGAGCCGCTGCAACTTCTCTTGCACGCCGTACTTGTTCAGCTTGCTTAATGAAGACTGGTTGTGTACGCCTTTGAAAAACCGTTCTGCGCACATGCGGGTGCGGCTAGGTACTGACTTGCATGATGCTTCGATATGGAACTATATGCTTGGACGACTTCCCATGCACTCACTGAGTCGCTGAGCGATCGTTTCTGATTGGCTACTACTACTACTACAACTCCTCCTCCTCCTGCTGCTGCTGCTTCTACTACTTCTACTACTTCTACTACTGCTACTACTACTACTACTACTACTACTACTGCTGCTACTACTACTACTACCACTACTACTAACTACTACCTACTAACTACTTAACTACTAACCACTGACTACTGACTACTCACTACTACCTACTACCTACTGCTACCTACTACCTACTAACTACTACAACTACCAACTACTAACTACTAACTACTAAACACTACTGCTACTGCTACTGCTACTCCTACTCCTACTACTACTTCTTATCCTTAATGTTTCTCCTATTGCTGTTGCCGCTGTTGCGTCGTAAGCTTTAGAATTCGTCCAAAGATGTTGACATGTCTTGCTGTCTTTCATCTGAGGCTGTTGCTGCTGCGGCTGTCGTTATTGCCGCTTCGTTCAATATGACATTTTTCCACCGACACTCGCACCAAAATCAGATTCCGACTAAAGGTCTTCGCGGTACGACTTCGTGAACTGACATGGAAACACAGGATGATAGGTTTACTTCGCTGCGCAACCCACACCCTTGACAAGCATTCCCCGATGCACAGAGGCTATCTGTCCCAAACGCGACATTGTGAGTGTTGCAAGGTTGTGGCATGAAAGCTGTGCTTGAAAGGGAGGCCGGAAAGGCTTTGCCCCTAAAATGAATATTCTATCTATGGGATAGCAATTCAAGCTGCACGATACCTAAATTTTTATTCTGACCCAGACTTGCGCTCGGTGCAAAAGTTTTCTTGCGGATCGTCCGGCGCAAGTATGTCCCGTGCAGTGTTCAACAGTTTAGGCTTGTGGAACCTTTCCGGGCTCGCAAGAATCCGCAAAGTGTGGGGAGCTTTATGTCGGGACGCCTGGAACTGTTTCTTGTTTGGACAATTGCCAACATTCATGAAATCACATCATGCATGAATGAGCCTCTACTTGTGTCATGGGCCGCCGCGGCATCCCCGACCATGACGGGGGGTCACAGCCTACTGCAACTACAAATCCTTTACATAGCCATGGTAGGGATGATGGCGAGGATGGTTGCAGGAAAACGGTGCAGTTGTCGAGGAGGACCTTTCGCTCAGATCTCCGTCTGATATCTCTGAGGTTGTGGGTCCCTACAGTGGGCCCAAACCTCCGACGTAGAACTGAAGATCCATGAGGCTTTGACCGTTTCTTGTCTTGCAGAAATGGCTTGACATAGCAACTTAGCCCTCTAAATACGCTCCGAAAAACCAAGATTTCCGGTGCCGCATCCTCGGTCCTAAACCCGAACTGATTTACTCGCCAGACCCTCAACTCCTAAGCATACTCCTGCGAAAATCCCCAATTGCCCATGCAGTGAAATACATGAAGCAGCCAGCCCGTAGGACATAGGTTGAAACTGGGGCTGTGAGCACCCTTTCAATACACTTGCTCACCCTATTAAAAGGCCTATGGGTAAAGAAGTCTCCTGATGCCTGTCCCCCCTTCCCATACCCATACAACAATCTTCGGTGCCCTAAACCCACTAAGCCACAAAACACCAGAGCAGTGACCCTGAACCCTAAGACCCTGAGCCTTCAAACCCCAAACAAAACCTTAAGAGCCTCAACTCAACCCCCAACCCTGAGTGCTAAAGCCTAAAAGCTCCAAACGAGCCTTTCAGATCCGATCCAAACGCTGAATCTATCCCACACCACGTCACAAAGGCTGAGAGCCTACGAAGTGCTTGCTGGCATGCATCCTGTTTCCTCCTGAACCCAGAAACCTGACGACCCCCTAACATGGAATCCGAAACTGTCAGTTAGCGCAGGCATTGGCTCTTGCCGCCACATGGCTGATTTTCTGAGGCCCGGACCACGAGGTCCTCGTCCCAGACTCCGGGGCCCCACTGCGAGTTCCGCAGCAAACCGACGTTGATGTCAACCTGCTCCGCCGGGTAGTCCCAGGGAACTCCCTGCAGGAAGGCACGGCCATCCTTCAAGAGCTTCCGAAAGTGTAGGAGCTGCCGCAGCAGCTTCTTGCAGCTGCAGACCAGCTCCGTGCCCGACAATGCTGGATCCGAGAGCGCCACGGCACAAAGCTTCTGCACAAGCTCGGCGTCTCCCTTCTGCAGGGCCAGTGAAAGCTGGCTGTGTCGGTCTTCAGCTCGGAGACGTTGACCCGTTTGCTCGAGGCACACGAGCTCCGGAAAGCCTGCGCTCAGGATCCAACTCAGAAAAAAAATCGCCTCCGCCTGGAAGAGAAAGACAAGAAGACAAGTGGAGAGGGGGCCGGAGCCTGCTTTGACGCAGTCGATGTGCCGCAGGAGGGCCCGCCGCTGCTTTGGATCGCGCTTTGGATCCCGCGGAAGCCCGCCATGGGAGGCGCTCTTGCGCATGCTTCCCCCCTTTCGGAGTGCCAACCCTGCCAGTTACGAAGCAGTCCTCATGTGATGTGCTGATTGGTTCTGGTTGTCGGGCTCCTATCCCCCAGCAGCCGCGGCTTTGAAGATTGAGGTCATATCCTTCTGAGTTTGTGTAGCATGAACAACTGAAAAACAAAAAACCTTGAGCCTTGGCGGCCACGGCTTCTAGCTCCGACAGATCGGACAGCAAGAAAATGCCACAGACCTCACCAGAGGTCGCGCTTCCGCCTCCTCCACCATAGCTGCCATGGCTAGTGGCACAATCGCGCTCGACGGTCTGAACCAAGGCATGACATGATGCCACTTTGGCAAGAAAGTTTCGCAGTCAAAGGAAGCTCTCGATTGCCTGGATACCATCGGCAGGCATTCGGCCACCCACAGCGGCACGCGCTCCTTCAGCCACGGGGACCAAGTGCCCCAACAGCACAGGAGAGGTTTGGGCTTCGTGGAAGAAGCCTGAGGCCCAGTCACGGTCGAACCGAATCCGGGCGGCTGCGTGAAATCTGTTAGACTGCTCTCAAGCTCATCTAGAATTCAAAGGCTCTTTACAAACAAAGGCCCGCGATGTTCCCCGCTGTGTCCTGGATCTGAAAGAGCCGGGCCTCCTGCGCCGCCCGGAAAAGAAAACATCGGCTTCTTGGACTCAGTCCCCAGCCTCGCCTCGTCCTCCGACATGAAAGACGCCTGGAGCGCCTTGCCCGCCTTGCTGCTGGTTCAAGGTCTCGTAACACTACCAGTATATATAACCAGCTACATAAACGAGACATCTGTTCGATTCCCTATTGCCCTATTGGCCCTATTTGTGGGGGACAACATTTCATGTTCCCTGAACAGAATCCAGTTTAGGGAAGCATCTCGCCGGAACTGGAACAGCAGCCCAAGGGCTCGGCATGCTCCCACACGGCGACGTTGCCGTGATCTACCAGGCCGTGCTCTGCGTAGTACTCCAACCTCAAAGTCTGACACTGATTTGGGGGTTCAGGAGTTCGGGCTTCGAGTTTAGGTCATACTTCGCTCCTCGCCCAACAACGTCATAATCGGAAAAGGAGCTCCGGAAGACCGTGAAGACGCGAAAATCCACAGCCCCACAGCTCGACAAGCTCTCCAGAGGTAAAACTACCAGTAGTCTTGCTTACCAGATCGGACATGCACACACACATACGGACATGAATATGTATATAGCTTTTGTTACAAACACATACATAAGTGCATGCACGCTGTAGGGAGAGAGAGAGAGAGAGAGAGAGAAAGAGAGAGAGAGAGAGAGAGAGAAAGAGAGAGAGAGAGAGAGGGAGAGGGAGAGAGAGAGAGAGAGAGAGAAAGGGATAGACATAAACCCTAGACCCCCAAAGCCCTGAGTATTGGGAAACCGTAGCCGCCAAAGCCCAAACCCAATTCAATAAATCCTGAACCGCAACCCCGAAACCCTAGAGCCCAAAACCCTAAAACTCAAAACTCTAAAAACCCGAAAAGCTAAACACCCAAACCCTAAAGACCCGAAACTCTGAAACCCGGAAACCGAAACACCCGAAACCCTAAAACCCGAAAACCTAAGCAACAACCAGAAACCCGAAACACCCGAAACTCCAAACACCAGAAACCCGAACACCCGAAACCCTAAACACCCGAGACCCTTACCGCCCGAATCATCGAAACCCTAGACGCCCAAAACCCTAAACATCCGAAACCCCAAACACCCGAAACCCTAAACGCCCGAAACCCTTAACGCCCGAAACACCGAAACCCTACACACCCGAAACCCCAAACAGCCGAAACCCGAAACGCCCTGAACCCTAAACACCCGAAACCCTTGATGCCCGAAACACTAAAAACACATGAACCCTAAACACCCGAAACCATAAACACCCGAAAACCTAAACACCCGAAACCCTGCACACCCGAAACCCCTAAACACCCAAAACCCTTATCACCCGAAGCCCTAAACACGCATAAGACCCGGAGCCGTAAGTAACAGAAACTCCAAAACACCAGAAACCCTAAACACCCGAAACCCTACACACCCGAAACCCCTAAACACCCCAAACCCTAATCACCCGAAACCCTAAGCACGCATAAAACCCGCAGCCGTAGCAGAAACCCCAAAACACCAGAAACCCTAAACACCCGAAACCCCATACACCCGAAACCCTAAACACCCGAAACCCCTAAACACCAGAAACCCTGAACGCCCAAAACCCTCAACACCCGAAGCCCTTAGCACCCGAAATCTTAAATACCCGAAGGCCTAAACACCCGAAACCCGCAAACACCCGAAACCCTAAACACCCGAAACCCCAAACACCGGAAGCCCTGAACGCCCGAAACCCGAAACAACCGAAACCCTAAACACCCGAATGCCAACACACCGAAAACCCTATCACCCGAAACCCTAAACAGCCGAAACCATAAACACCCGAAAAACTAAACACCCGAAACCCTGAATACTGAACACCCGAAGCCCTAAACACCCGAAACCCCAAAACACCGGATTCCATAAACACCCGAAGCCCGAAACACCCGAAGCCCTAAACGCCCGAAGCCCCAAGCACACGAAACCCCAAACACCCGAAACCTTAAATATCCAAAACCCTAAACTCAACGCTCGATACCCTAAACACACGAAACCCTAAACGCCCGAGACCCTTAACGCTTGAAGCCCTAAATGCACCAAACCCTAAACACTCGAAACCTTAAACGCCCGAAACCCTGAACGTCCGAGACCCTAATTGCCCGAAACCATAAATGCACTGAACCCTAAACACTCGAAACCCCCAAACACCCCCAAAATCCCCCAAAATCCCCCAAAATCCCTAAACCCTAAACCCACCGTAAGCCCTGTGCCAGGGGAGCACCAGAGCGGCCGGCGCCTTTTCCAAAACCACCGGCAGTCGCCGGGCCAGGGCCTCAAGCCGAAACTTCCGTCTCTGAAGGTCCTCAATCTGAATAGTCATAATAACAATAATTAATAATAATAATAATGATAATAATAATAATAATGATAATAATAATAATTAATAATAATAATAATAATAATAATTATTATTATTAATAATAATAATAATAATAGTATTAACAGTCATAATAACAATACCAATAAAAATACCGAAATAAAAATACCAGTAATAGTACCAATAAAAAATACCAATAATAAAAATAATCCAATTATGGTAACTTTGTAATAGGGTTAAGGGTTTAGGGTTTTAGATCCTGGTACTGGTAACTTTATATTGAAATTCTTTAGAAAGAACCAGAAACATGGGATGTTGTTGTTGGGCTCTGTGGGATTGTAGAAAATGTTCACAGGATTTGCTGAAGGGCTTCGGTGGATCTTCTGAGACTTTATGGGGTTGTTACTGTGTAAGAGCTGTATGAGGTTTCAGAAGGCCAGTGTAGGAATTGCCATGAGCTTGCTGGAGTTTCAAGATGTTCTGGGTGCTTTGTAGGTTGTTACAGTACTTCCTGTCAAACCCAACAAAGACCCGAAGCAACCCCCTGAGAAGACATAACAGAAAGACAATGCTTCCGGAAGGGGTCGGCCTGATGCAGTCGTCCTGCAAAAAGCTGCGCAGCTCGGGGCTTGGAAATAGCCAGCTGCAACCTCTCAGCGTGGCCAAGCTTTCCACTCCAAGATGGTTTTCATGGTGCCCATGGCTGTTCCAAGATCACTTACAAGTTCTCGGCATGAGGGAATCGCGGTCACTATCGATGCCTTCCTCAGGTGATCCATGTCGCCAGACAGGAGGTTTGAATCTTTGAGGTGCTACTTTGGGCAAAAGATCGCACACACGTGTGCTGTCCGAGACTGGCTCCACTCGCTCAATATGCTCCGAACCACAGACAGGTGCCAGTCTTGCTAACCCTCTGTGCAACTGCCGCAGCCAAGTTCCAGGCTGAAGCACCTTGCAGCCTGGACAGGCTAGAGTTGCCGAGTGGCAGTGGCCCCCCTGCCCCATTCTTCTTCAACAGGGCGGCAAGGCATCTCAGCAGGGGGGCAAGTGCATCTTCTGCCTCCTGCAGGACAGATTCGGAACTGCGTCTTTCTGCTGCCGGCCAGAAGCATGTGGCCCTGATGAAGACAGAAAGACGGAGTATCCCAGCAAAAGCAATGCCGTCACATTTTGCTTCGTAAGCTGGGAGTTCCGCCATCTGAGCCGTGCCGCAAGCGCTTACACCCTCTACAGATTGCACGAAGGCCTGCATGGCAATTTGTACACAATGCTTCGGGCATGGAGACGAGTCTGACATCGCATTCACGCTTGACAAATCGAAATCACAGGGGTAGAGGACGGTCACGAAACAAAATCCGTTTTGAGGGAGGCAACTGTCAGGTCTCGTCTGCCCGAAGGTGAGGGTTGCCCGGAGGGGTCAGGAGAGCGGATTTTGCTGTGGAAACGTGTCCGCCAAGGTGGCGCGAGGTGGCGCTCGCTTGAGCACCTGACACGCGGAGCTCCGGCCTAGTACAAGTAGTAGCATCAGCACCCCAGCTTCTGAGCCACTCCGTCCGAGGTCTCCGCGCGCTTCTCCGGCAGCTGTGCGGCAGGCTTAGGCCTCTGGACTCTGGGGACTGCTGCGCGCCGTGGCGTCGTGGGCCGGGGAAGTCTGGCCTCGCTCTTGTTCTTCTGCTCACCCAGGAACTTGATCACCTGCTCCAAGTTCTCGATCCAATGCGAGAGCCTGCAGAGCAGCTGAGCAGCTGAGCAGCTGAGCAGCACTGCAGTTTCACCAGAGACAGGGGCAAGCAAGACTGTGGCCAGGGCTTGGAATCCAGGAAGTTCCACTCCTTCAGAGGGTGCATCTGGTGGAAACCAAGAGAAGTCAGTTTGCTGTTTTCGCTGACCTCCTTCTCGAACTTGCGCAAGAAGGCGGATTTCACGAGCACCTTCCCAAAGCCCACGTAGAGCGCTACAAGACTCGGACGGTGTTGGAGCCTTCCGGTTCAGCTGGTCAATGCGCCCATCGATGACGCCCTCGGAGATCGCCCGAACAACCCACGGCTCCACGGCCGTGGGGCTTTCCTGCAACGCAAGACACAGGGTCATTATAAACGGGAAGTCGAGCTGTCCTGGATGCGCTTGGCGATGTCATCTAAAGGGAGTTCCGACCTGAGAAACAGCTTTGAAGGTGCACCTGTGCATCTGAACACTACAGCATGGGGCACGGACTGTCCCCGAGCCATCGTGGCCAAGGTCAGAAGTCTAATTTTGGACATCGCCTCCTGGCGAGTGACACGTGTCGTTCATCCAGCCTGCCCTAGCCCGAGCATGCTGCCGTACCCTCAACAAAGGAACGAAATTGAAAGCTATTTGTTCCACTACCCTCTGCAGAGGGCAGCTTCTGAAGTCTGTTGAATCAAGACCCGCATCGTGATCCACCTGGAAGTTTAGGGAATGCTCGTCAAAGAGCTTCTCGTTCTTCTTGTGGAAGTCCTGCTGTAGCGTCCGACTATGCCATTGAGGCTGCTAGGAACATGTGGACAAACAGCAAACTCGAGACTCAAAACATCCGGCTCGTGGCAACTGCATCTCTATGCATGTCCTTCAGGTCATCCACCGAACCAGATCTTGGAAACATGGGCAACATGAGACGCCTCCTCTGTGCGAGCCGTCCCTCAAGACCCAGGCAGGAAGATTTCACAGAGGGTCACGAGGCTTCCCTGAGGGGTGCTTTTCAAAGCCTCAGCAGAAGCAGAAGGGTCCAGAGTGCGAGAAGCTGGCAGCTTCAAGCCAGGCCTTGACCGTGTCCAGCATCAAAACGTCGTCGAACTGAATCACCGCTGGGAGCATCACTGCATCCTGCCACAAATGGCTTACTGGCACGATCCGTGCCGGGACAGCCAGACTTCAGCCTTGATCAGCTGGATCGTCTGCTCAACGACCTGCCGCTGCCAGAAATCAGCGTTGAGTTGAAGCAACATCGGAGGCAGGGGCACGTCGACGTCGAAATCACGGTGTCCATCCGCTTCGTCACGCTGCTACAGTAGACACACTGCTCGGGCGAATTGCGGACTGAGTTGTTCGATGATGCGTTGGCCCCTGCGCCAGAGGTCTGGACCGCCAAACGAAACCCGAAAGGCGAAGATGCTTGCAGCTCGACTGCTGGCGCAGAGCACTCGAGCTTGGCCTTCTAGCGATCATGTTCCTTGCTATCCATGACCCAGCTCTGATATACTTGCGACAAGGCACCTGATTCCCACCCCGCTGAGCCGCGAAGCACCGGAAAGTTCCCCTATTTCCCACGCGCTCCCGCTAAGAAGGGTCCACGTGAGAGAAACCCGTGGAGTCTGAGGCTGACCCCGGCCTCTGGCTTGGTCATGGCATCCGAAGCTGCGCCCTGGAAGAGGCCATGGTACCTAGCGGAAGAATGGAACTCTGGTGGGAACCTCGCTGAGGGTCTGAGTCTCTGTTCGGGGGCCTTGTGTCCTGAGATGTTCTGAGGATCTGGCTGCTTCAGGTACTGGAAGGCCTCGGACTTTTTGCCGTAGCCCCTGGCAAGCCATCAAGCGTAACTTCAATAGGTATCCGGGATCTATGTTTACGCGAAGCCTCATGTGTCTGGAGATGTCGGCATACAATGCTCGCTTCTCGTCGATCTTGAGGTACGACTCCCAGTCGGCCTGGGCTGCCAAAGCTGAACAGAATGCCGGCCACACAGGTTGGTGGCTGGGCAGACGGACCATCCAGGAGTCAAGGTAGTCGAGGTAAGGCAAAACCTCGACACGTGCGTGGAAAGACGAGACTCGACGCGTCTGCAACGATAGATTACAAGAGATGCTGTCGCTGTGGGAGGCAGAAGGGCCCTGGCCTGGTCGAACATGTCGGCCGCTGCTGCATAGTCCAAGGCATACCTCAGACAAAATCCAAACAAGACACAAGACTCCCTCCCGCTGCAGCACTGCAGCACTGCAATGCCGCCAGGGCGCTTGAAGATCCTGTACCGCTGCCTTCGTATCAACGAAACGTCTGCACGACCCAATGTGCCCAACAGAGCCCTTCGCCGGGACAGCTTCTGACGCCTGACTTAAGTTCCGGACTGGAGAAGAGGGCTGAAGGTGTTGTACAGCATCATCAGCAGTCTGAGTCGCAGCTCGGGCTGCCTGGAAGGCGGCAACAGAACAATGCTCGTGCAAGGCTTGCACTGGGTCTGCGCTGCCCTTTCTAACCGGCAGTGGCACTGCAACCATGATAAATGAACTGTATGCCTCAAGCCTGGTGCTGAGCCAGCGACTGCTCTGTGTCCGCGCTCAGCAATTCGCAGAGTCTTGTTGTTGATTTGTCCAAATGTTCGCTGTCCTTTGGCCGCGACCACTCAGCCACTGGGAGTCACAACTTTGCGTTTCAGCGCACCTCGAAGTAGGACAGCATACTGAGAATCAGCGCGAAGAAGCTCTGGCAGCAGTGGCAGCATGGATGACACGTAAATATTGTGAACTTGCGATGGCAGGCCACTGCATCTTCGAAGCGACAGTACTGTACACACATGGAGACGTTGTGGAAGAGAGTCTTATCATGACAAGTATCGGCCGGCAGGGGCATACTTGGATTTTCATCTGGACCTACGCGGGTGCCTCGATCTCTTTCAGCCGCTCTTCAGGCTTGTTCTCTGGGATGGCCGTGAAAAGGTTCTCGCCAGGGATTACAGCAAGACTTGTGCAATGACAGGAGGCTTGGTTGCAGCAATCCTTGCTGTAGTCGACGAACAAGTCGAACACAGGGGCAATGTCGTACCTTGGAGCGTCCTGCACCGCCTGGGAATTTGGCAGAAGCAGCGTGCGAAGAGGAAACACTCGTCAAGTGTGGTGCCTGAAACTCCTTCCTGAACTTGTCGGTGAAGGCCTTTTCTGCATCCATGCCCTGCTGCAGCTGCAGAAGCCTCCTGGCAAAGCGAACGTGGCTCTCGAGCGACAACTATGACTATGAGACCTGACACGCTCGCACTTCGGGAAACAGACTGCGAGGAAAAAGAAACGCATGACAGTAGCATGTCATCGATGACAATGCAGGTGGAACAGGTTGCTAGGATTTGCTCCCGACCGAAGACCAACTATGCGTGCTCCCCATATCAATGTGCGCATCTTTCTTTCCCCAGCCTTGAGGGCGAGCCCCGGCAAGCCTAGGGAAAGAAAGATGCGCACATTGATATGGGGAGCACTCACAGTTGGTCTTCGGTTGGGAGCAAATCCTGGCGCATCTCTCTCTCTCGCTCTCTCTTTGCTTGGCTCTGGGGCAAGGGAGGCAGGCAGTCCCTACCTCCTGCTCCCTCTCTCTTCTTCAGCACAGCCAGGGCCAGGGCGTGCGCCGAACCCCCCGCGTGATTTCGCCCACTGGGGAGTTAATGTGCAAAGAAACTCTCTTTTTCTCTTGCTTGGGGTCTAGAGCCTCGAGAGACCCTTGGGCCGAAGGCCTACCTCCGCAACGGTCCGCACGCAGTCTGTTGGAGGGGCCCCTATTTCACTTCACTTCATTGGGGATGAGCCTTCTCGCGCAGACCCCGGCCAAGGCCCCCCCTTCCCCCTATATCGGTGGAAGGGCTTAGGGGTCCGTGGGCGGGTTTGTGCCCCGTGGTCGGTTGGAGGGTGTCTGTCGGCAAACCCCCCAACCCTGAACGTTATCGCGCTTCCCGGCTTCATCACCGCGCCCTCTATGGCAAGTCCTAAGCCCCTCGACAGACGCATCCCCCCAGTAGTTCCAGGGGACTGACCCTAACATCCCCCATCAAACAAAAACTGAAGCAGCAAACACTGAGTGCAGTACAGTACGGTGCACGTCAACATGACGAATGCGATGACGTGTCATGGGGGCTAGTGTAAACTATCGGGTACTCGCCCCTTCTCGTGGAAGCAACACAGAACAGGTCAGACGGTGCAGCAACTACTACAAGGAGTCCCCCTTTCCAAAAAAATGCCGGTTAAATTCTCTCTCTCTAAGTGGGTATGGCAGGAAGCGAAAGCACCGAATTAGCGGTCGTGGGCGGAACAGACATCGTCGCCGAACGACGGGATTGCACTGAAGCGG